ACTAATCACTCATGTCCCACAATGTGGACTTTTCTGTCCAATTACAAAATACCACCCAAACCCATGAAAAAGGTGAGGAAGAACAACCAAAAAACCTCCATCTTGCCCCATATATTGGTATATTCTAAAACCTTAAACTCTTAAATTTTCCACTCTGTGATATTACACACTTCTAATCAAGCTACACACCCATAATCCCAGTGCTATCAAGCAATTTTGGAAGCCTTCTCTGAGTCCTCGGGTCAAATATAGTATTTCTTGTGGGTCTGTGCCCTTCAGCACAGAAATTTAAAATTCTCAGCATCCAGGATTCCAACAGGGATCAATGGGCGCTGCCTCAGCTCTGGATTACCACGTCAAGAAAAGGCAGCTTGCACTCAGGTTAAATCCAACCAGCAGCCAGGGGAAATAAGCATTGTGTGGGGGGAAGAAACGAGATGGAATGGAAATTCAAGCACCACGTGGCTTTCTGGAGGAAATGGATTTGTTCTTTGTGATTGAGAAAGGCACAGTTGTTAATATTCTCTTTATTTGCCAACAGACGTGCCTTGCAGCGCCGTGTCTGTTACCAAGCTGTGACAGGCTGGCTGTTGTAAAGCGAGGTACTTTGCATAATTAGTGTGAAGACGTGAACAGATGAGCACTAATTCTTAGAAGTTAATGATTGTCAATTATCTCCCCCTTTTTTTTTCCTGGATCCACTCCAAGATTAGCGGAATATCAACTACCTCAAGGTACAGTTCCTTAATTGGCCCAAGCACAATTATTGCCAGCTGTCACCCCAAAATGTGGCTTTGCCTTTTGACCTGCCTTCATCAGCAGTCAGGTCAGCTTGCTGCTGTTTGAAAGCGTTGTTTTCTTTTTAATTCCTAGGCTGGAGGTTGTTTGGATCCATAAGCTGATCCGACTTGACACAAGGCTTCCAGATCGTTAGTGCAGACAGAAAGGGGCTGAGAAGGGTGAGACTGTCCCTGGCAGCTCCAGGAGATTTTATCCTGCCTTAAACCCACAGAGAAATCCCACTTTCTGCTCAAAAGTGATGCAAAAATTCCCACTGCACCTGTTTCAACTTCTTACCTGCTCCAGAAATTGTCTCCTAGGTGCATTAATAGCTTCCAGCTCTTGTCTTGCCCAAATCTCGTTGGAATCCAGGATTTTGGAGCTTCCTTAGGACTGTGTTTCCAAACACACCTGTATTTTTTTCTTATTTTCAGCAGCAGGTTACTGTAGGTTTAACTGTGGTTATGTAGATGGTGGATCCAGAGGCACAACTTCCAGGGAAGCATCCCACAGGTTTGTGTGGAGGTTGTTGTTTCCATTTCCATTTGTGCTGTTGGAGCAAAATGAAAAGGACTGCTTGTTTTGGAGATGGGAAAAGTCATGGATTTTTGTTCCCAGGAAAGCCTTTTTGTTTTTGGGAGATGACTGTTTAATGTGAAATCCAACAAAATGCCTTTATTTTCCCCTCTCTGACTTTATACACAGTTTAGCCTGTATTGTTTAAAAGCATGTTGTAAGAATTCTAATTATTCTCTTCCCTATTTCTGAATGGCATCTTTCTTCAGGCACACAAGTCCTCTGTGCTTAGTGTCAGCCTTTGAATATAATGATTTATCCACACTTGAAATGATGTTAAAAATTTTTCTGTGAAGGAGCTTTTTCAAAGAATTCTCTCATTCTCTCACTTCTTAAATAAGGCTAAGAAAAAATATTCTGCTAAATATCTGTTTCATATTAAGAATGAAATAAATATCTTTATTGGACATAACACCTTACTGTGAAATAATGAATGTATCATTTGCTCTGTGCTTTCATGTTTTATGTCAGGATGTACAGCTCTGACATCCAGATTTACCTGGCAGAAATGTTTTAGCAGCTTAATCTGAGATCTTCAGATATTTTTAAGGGCTGCACCAAAGTTACAATTTATTTGAAAAATAAAGTAATTTGAGGAGAGTAAAATTGCTAACCTAAAACCTTAAAAAAGGAAGGAAATACCCAACCTGCGAGGATTCTCCTCCCCCAATTCTTCTTCCCTTTTTCTACCCAGTACTTGAACTGATCAGAAAATACTTCCCTAGAGCTCAAGAAGACAAAAAAACCCATTTATTTTGCTTTTCTCTGCTCTGGTCTTCTTGCACATGCTCATAACACTACTTCTTTCAAATCATAAATGTGTTTTATTGGGTAACTCTTTTGTGGAAGCCTTTGAAATTAAAATTTAAATATCTTAGGAATAGCTAACCTTGTTTCATAGGTAATGTTTTTTAATAAAATGGAAAAAGCCCCTGAGTTTCCATAATTGTTCTTTGTCAAATTGAGTTCTAACCATTTTTCTATAAGTGATCAGTACAGGTAGGGAAAAAAATGGGAAAAAAATCAAGATGTGTATTGCTGCTCTGTTTATAATGCACAAGAAGTTCTAAAAATGTTACAGGTCCTTAAAAACCTGATTTTGGCTGGATAATTAAATTTGCCTTCACAGTTGACCATGAGTAGCAGAGAAATGATTGCATCTTGTTTTTGAGGAGCTGAAGGAAAATCTCATTTGTTTCTGTTAACTGTTTCTTTCCTCACTTTGAGCAGGAGCAGGAACATGCACCCTCTGATATGGAAAATGTTTTATTAAAAGTCACTCTGGGAGCTGCTTGCTGTGTCAGTGCAGAAGTCCTTGGACATGCTTTTTCTCCCAGTCCTTCCAAATTGTCCTTCAGATCCTCTCAGAAATCATGGAAACAGTTCCTTTGCAGGGAGGTCAAGAAGCATTTTGAGAAGGATTTCACTTATGGACAGCTTTGTACAAAAAGCTGCTTTCATGTTTTTGGTTTTTTTCAGAGAGGCTCCAGCAATCCTGCAGCTGCTCCTCAAATAACTGTGGGCTTGTGCAACTTGTGTTGCTGTTTCCATACCAACAAATGAAATAAGTCCAATTTGTGCCCACAGTGAAGAGTCTGGGGATTTTTTTTCTGCTCTTTATCTCATGATATGGGAAGTATAAAAAGATGAGCTGTGAATAGCTCGTAGTGAATCATCTGTCAGCCAGCTGCTCTGGGCTCCTGTTTAATGATGGGATGGAAGTTTTCCAGAATAAGACACAAAATCTTAAATTTATATAACTGTGAGATTCAGATTTAGGTGAGGTTTGAAAGAATGAATAGTTAGTAGTTGCTTAAATGTGCAGCATAAAGTTCAGTGTGGATTTTCTGGCATCACCCATGTGGGCAAACATCTGATTGTACCTGATGAAGTCTGATGTCATCAGTGGCTTTAATTTCTGTTTCCATATCTAAGAGTGGGTCAGAATATCCATCCATCCATCCATCCATCCATCATCCATCATCCATCCATCCATCATCCATCATCCATCCATCCATCATCCATCATCCATCCATCCATCATCCATCATCCATCCATCCATCATCCATCATCCATCCATCCATCATCCATCATCCATCCATCCATCATCCATCATCCATCCATCCATCATCCATCATCCATCCATCCATCATCCATCATCCATCCATCATCCATCCGTCCATCCATCCATCATCCATCCTCCATCATCCATCCATCCATCCATCATCCATCTGTCCGTCCATCCATCCATCCGTCCGTCCGTCCGCCCATCTATAAAATACTATATTTTGAAATATAATATTGAAATATTCCAGATCCATCCATCATCCATCCATCCATCCATCCATCCATCCATCCATCCATCCATCCATCCATCCATCCATCCAAATATAAAATACTATATTTTGAAATGTAATATTGAAATATTCCAGGTAAAAAGAACAATTGAGGGATTCAGAACCAAAACATTTGACCAAAAAAGGGATAAAATGACTGCTGGGGACTGCAGTGACTTTGTGCTTCCCATGGAAGTATTTCCAAATGAATTGTTGTCTGTCCTTTATCTCTGATGTTTGAATTTCACTTAGATTTGCCATAATGGAAACCTTTCATGTCCATTCTTTCTTTCAGAGAAAGTAGAGCATAATAATTGCAGTGTTGCTGAAAAAACCTATTTGCTTTTTTACTTGGCTAAAGTAATGCTGAAAATAGAAATATTTGACCTTACTTTATTGTTTGTTTGAACTGCTCATAAATTTAGCTCTGTTTGACTGTTTCTGTGAGAGACATTTGTTTCCTGGAGCTGAACAGCTCATAGTTCTATAAACAAGACTATAAACAAGAAATCCCATTCAGTAATATCAACAGTGAAATTTCTTGTCTTTTATCTGCATTTAAACAAACTCACAGAATGTTGCCTGGAAGCACAAATTGTGTTGCTCTCTGTGTGGCTGTTGTAGCTGAAAGATGCATATTGGGCAACTGAATTAAAATTTATTTAATGAACTATTCACTTTGATTATTAAAACAAAAATCTGTCTGGCTGTTACAGATGGGATTTTTGCCTGGTTTGAGGATAAATATTGGCGGCTGAATTAAAATTTATAGAATACATTATTAATTTTTATGGTAAAAAAACTCAGCAATACTTGGCATTGTTTAATTTCTCTTTAATGTTTGAATTGATGATCTTGGAAGTGTTTTCCAACCTTAATGATTCTCCTGATGGTGCTGGAGGTGCCAAAACTCTTTCCCAAACTCCTGCTGGGATATTGGTGCACCTGTGGTGCTTTCTGATGTCACTTTGCTTTTTCTTCTCTGGTAGAAAAGAGAATTTCTGCTGGCCAGGTGAGAACAAACCTGAGCAGCAATTTTTGACGGGTTGGAGATTAACAGAGCTCATGGGTTGAAGGAATAGTTAAAATTCCTGTCTTCTCAGTGCTGTCAACTTCATCTTTTAATGGGCAAAAATCATCAGGAATGACTTAAGGTCCATCTCAAGAAAAAAAACCTCAAATTGAAGTGTGTCCATTTACTTTCTGTAGTAAAGGAAACAAAGCTGGGTCAGCTCTTCAGCCTCCCAGTTTGACATTTCACAGCAGTGACCTTGAGGACAAATTCTCTTTTTTTTTTTTTTTTTGCAGCTGCAGCCGCCTCCGAAATATTCAGAGTATCCTGACACAGAGCAGCAAATCTCAGCCTGATGGAATCCTCTGCATTTTAGGTTAGTGTTACAATTTTTGTTCTCATTATGCTGATAAGGATACCACGAGTTTCAGAAAGAAGAAATTCATCTTGCTGCTCCAAGCCCCAGCCTGGTTTCTCAGCTGATGTTACATTCTGTTCTCCCTAAACAATTCTTCATCTTATTTACTAATTTTGGGCAAAGAATTTTAAAGAGCGGCCCCAGAAACCCAGGAAGCAGTTAGGAGTTAAATGTTTGCACATAAAATTCATGTGGTTTCAGTGCTTTATTTCTGCTGGGATTGGGAGAAAAGGGCAGCAGGAAATAAAGGTGCACGTGCAAGTGTGCTGTGGGAAAATAACAGGGGTTTTGTATTGCTTTAAAACCATTTCATGGACTCTTGTTTCACATTATATCATCAGTGTCAAGATCTTAAAGGAAAAATGCAGACATTATGATTGAAAACTTGAGTCCTTAGAGAAAAGGACTGAGGAGTAATTGTTTAAATAATATATTGCAGTTAAATAGCAGAAATCTGGTGTAGCCCTAAAGAAGCTCTGTGCAGGAGGTGATACCACAGCCTGTTTTTTTTTTTTGTTTTATTCTGTTTTTTAATGATGTAGCAAGAGAACTTAAAGCTCATTTATTGGACTACAGAATAAAATTTTTTAATATATATAAAATTAAATACAATTATATATATAAATATACAAATTTATAAATATATATGTATAATAGCTATATTTATAAATATAATACATAATTTATAATAGATAATAATTTAAAAAATTATAAACAGACAATAATTTATAATAGATAACATTCTCTTCTAGTCAGTGCTAACTGTACAACATGACCCTTCCTACCCTGCATTTTCCAGGGTAAGAGGTTAAGTCTCTAAGTAGTAACTGTACAGCCAGAAGCTCTGTGAGGTCACTGTGTCAGCCTTCCAGTGAAACTTAATCATACAGGATAAACTCCTTGGGTTTTGCCTTTGCTGCTAATTTAATTCCATAAAACATGAAATTAACATTAAAAATAAATATAAACCCCCCATAATTTAATTCCATAAAACATTAACTGATGGCACTGCAGTATTTAATTATTGTGAGCTCTGAGACTGCAGAGAGTCCCAGGTAAGGAGCAGTGACTAAAACATGGCTCAGCTTTAAGGAAAGCAAAGGAGTTGCTTTGTGTAATCCCCAGTGTTGTGTGGAAGATTTAATTCTCTTCAGAAGAACATACCTCTTTCTAAATAAGCACTTGTGGTATGGAAACATAGGAGGTGTGTTTTGTTGGGAGATTTGGGCTTTGCCCTGATCTCTCAGCACCCACAATGGGACCCTTGTCTGCTCTGGCCTGGCTCCTGTAGCCTGCAGAATTTCTGGCATAGCTTCCATAAAACAGGCATGTCACTGTGAGAAATGCATTAAATCTGTCATCAAACACAAGCTTCTGATGACAAACCCATGTAGTTTTACATCCTGAGTCCTCTTGGCTTGTTGGAAAGTGGATACTCACAAGTGTGGTTTTTTACAGGCAGTGCATGTTCTGTTTCACTTGGCTGCTTTTAATGGCCTGCAGTTAATGCAGCTCCTCACCTCAACTTCATTTTCATGCTGAGCTGGGAGATAAAACCAGAATAAACTTCCCCAGCTTTACTTCAAGTTCATTAATATTTGTACTGAAATCAAACCCAGCATTGGGAGATCCCAGAGAGAGATGAGAATTGAGCCACTGTTGATGCAAGTATTTAGATGGAGTTACAGCTGATTTTTTAAAAAGAATCCTCTGATCTGATTTTGAAGGGGTTGTGTGGTAACATTCCCGCATTCTCTGCTGGGGAGAAAAGGCCTCACAGCTGACAGGAAAAAGGAATTTGGAGGTTGGCATGTCAAATGGCTTTAAGAAGCTGTGATGTCTCAGCTGAGTGTGTTGCTGTTCAAACTGACCTACTCAAACTATATTTTTAATTATTTTCTATCATAATGGTGTTTCTAGGCATCTTACCTTTCAGCAGAGATTTTCAGCTCCTTGTTCAGCTGCTCTGATTTCTGAGGATGTGCATTTGCTCTGAGCTGGGGGTGTCTGTGACTACTGCAATTGTAGCTGCCCTGATTGTGGATGAAACTGTTTCACCATTCAGCACAGCTGAGCTGAATTTTTGCAAATATTGATATTTATTTTCTATTCTCCTCGAAGAGTGTGGAGATACTTTCAAGGCTGTTGCAGTAAATATCTATTTTACTTTGGTTCTGTTCACATACTGCTTTTTTAGATTATAAATAATCTAGAGTATTTATTCAGTTTATATATTTAGACAATATAGTTATATACTATATAAATACATATACTATATAATAAAAATTGTAATAGATAACATATAATTATATATATTATAAACATAACACATATATAATTATATATTATATATACACACATATATATATTATTATACATAATATATACTATATAATATATTATTATAGAATTATGTATATAATCTAAATATATAATATATAATTATAATGTATAATATATAATTTTATTATAATATAGTTATATATAATCTAAATAGAAAGATATGACATATAAATTATATATGATTTATAGTATATGATATTATATGATTAGATATATAACTAAATATATAATACATATGATTATAATATATAATAGATCTAATATTATGATAGTATAATTATATATAATATAAATATATAATACATAATATAAAATGATAATATATAATAAATATAAAATATATAATATATAAAATATATAATCTAAAACAATCTAGATTATTTATAACCTACAAAATCAATATGTGAACAGAAAGACCATGTTCACATCATCTTTTTTAGATTATTTTTTCTCCATTATATCCATCCCACACAGAGCTCTCCCTGCTGGGGTTTCTCCCACATTCTGAAAACCTTTAGTCCATCGCTCTGTCTGTTCATCCCATTCCCTTTCCAAACAGAGATTATTTTAAGGATTATTCTGCAGCAGTTCCAGAATTCTGTTGCTTTTGGGCCAATATCTGAAGCTGAATTATCCATTCCCTCCATCCTCTCCCTCCTGCTGTCCCCAGGTGCATTTTGCATCCCTGCCTGTGCCCTTGGGTATCTCCCCCCTCTTGATCTTAGCCAGCAGACAGATTTCCCCCTGCATTTGTGAAAAATGCATATTAGATGATTGGCTCTTGGCAAATATTAAAATGAACACTATATGGGTTATTTTGGAAAGTTATGTTGTATTAATAGCTTTTAAGCAGTGTGATAAATAGAGTTTTTAGGCTATAGCATAATATTAAAATAGAAACTATGTGAAGTGAGATGCTTTTTTGTAATTGACTCAAGAAATGGAAAAGATAAGCAAGAAATTCTTCTCATTATCTTCTCTGTATGGAGATACAACAGGATTCCAAGAAAAGAATTATTGCCTCCTTATTGGGAAGGCCCAGATCCCAGGAACCAAGGTGATTGATTTACAAGGTGAAGTTGCTTCTCTTCTTCATCTTGTAAATCAAGATAAACAGAATAATCCTTAGTTTGAAAGGAGTGTTTGCATCATGTATGAGATATATGAATATTCAACAGGCTGGTTTTTTTTAAAGGTTAATCCTGTGTTAGAGAGCTCTGCTTTTTGGGGCTTAGTGCCCAGGAAGCATCCAGAGGTCCATAATTCTTTGCTTTTATTGTCCTAACTCTGATTGTCCAAATTCTTACTGCTTTAATTTTTTTATTACTATTTTCATAACTATTTTATTACTCTTAAACTGTTACAATTTTAAAACAATTGATTGGCGTTTTTCACACTTTGTGCCAGCTAACAAAGTGCTGAGGGGCAGCTGAGCCCTGCCTGGGGAGCAGAGCAGGAGCTCAGGGTGTGCCCACACCCCGGCCAGGGGCTGGGAACAGGAGGGGGAGTTCCAAACTCCCAGCTCAGCTGGAGACAGGCGTCGGGGTTTCCTAATTAATGGCCTTGCCCATTGTTCTGGGGAGGACTCCTGATATGGGTATCTTATCTTGGTCATTGTTTCATTTCCTGTTTGTTTTCTGCTAGCTGTATCTGTTCTTTAACTCCATATGTTGCTGTAGAACAGCACTAAAGGCTCAGTGTGAAAGCTCCTGTCTGGACAGATACTTGGAAGACCCAAGTAAACCACAAATTCCAAATATTCTGCAGAATTCATGGTTTTATGTTAAACAATTACCTTCCTTGAGTGGCTGTCAGTGCTCTGCAAGCAGTAAATTCACCCATGTCCTCTATTATGAGTTTAATTTGTCAGCTGTCCCCCTTTAAGATCTTTTGTTTTCTCTTCTCCTCCTTCTGTCATTAACTGAAAAAGCAGGGCTTTGGAGTTTGGCTTGGAAGATCTTCCCTGCTCTAAGCTGCTGTACCCAGATAAAATCTCAAACTCTTCAAGTGATGGTGACATCAACTTTTTTTTTTTTTTAAGTGAGGGCAGTTTCTCATTTTTCTTCTGGTCTTCCAGAAATTAGAATCACAGGATCATAGAATGGTTTAGATTGGAGGGATTTTAAAGATTACATAGTTCCAACTCAGTGCCATGGGCAGGGACACCTCCCACTGTCCCAGGATGCTCCAAACCCTGTCTGACCTGGCCTTGGACACTTCCAGGGATCCAGGGGCAGCCACAGCTGCTCTGGGCACCCTGTGCCAGGGCTCACCACCCTCCCAGGGAACAATTCCTTCCCAATATCCCATCCATCCCTGCCCTCTGGTACTGGGAAGCCATTCCCTGTGTCCTGTCCCTCCATCCCTTGTCCCCAGTCCCTCTGCAGCTCTCCTGGAGCCCTCTTAGCACTGGAGGGGGCTCTGAGGTCTTTCTGGAGCCTTCTCTTTTCCAGGCTGAGCATTCCCAGCTCTTTCAGTCTGTCTGTGTCAGATTATTGCTCCTCTGAGCCTTCAGAAGGTGCCTCAGTCAGGCAGGTAATCAGTGGAGCAGATTATCCTCAGGAGATTGTGTGTGCTCACTTCCCAAGGCTGCAGCTGATTCCAAGGAGGCTGATTACATTGAAATGGAGTTCCCCAAAACAATGGGACAGTTTCTTCCTGAAAGAAGGGAGTCTCCACTTGTTTGTAACTAAAATCCCACCTAGACACAAGGGCTTTGGCAGGTATATTTGTGTGCTGAGTCCCACTGAATTCCAGATTACGTTGGTGTGCCTGCTTTCATGGGGCTGAAAATGTCAATAAAATAGAGGGACACTTATGAATGAGAGGTCAGAAACAGCAGGGGAATGAGGATTCCAAGATTATGGCTGGAAAAAAAACTTTGAGGGCTGTGAAAGCTGGGACAGATGTGAGGCAGCTTTCCACCAAATATCAGATGCCTTGGAATACACATGAACTACCAAAGTTACTGAGCAAACAGAGTTTATGGAGATGTGGGATTCACTAGCTGGATGCAGACACATCATGTAGCATTTTAAAGCTGAAGCATAACATGAAAAAGGAGCATAAACAGGAGAACCTGAGGTTTGTTCCAATTTTTGCCAATTCCAGGTGACTCTTGACTGGTTTGGTTTCCAGTTCAAGTGCTGAGACTCAGATGTTCAGGCCATGTTATTACATTATCAATGTCCTGATCTCTCTTTTAGCAGAGCTAACAAATCCTATTTTGTTGGCAGCCCTTCCACTGTATCCTAATGTAACAAATCCACATTTGTTGGCAAGGATTCCACTGAATCCTAATATAACTTGGTAGGAAAACTTGCCATTAGAGGAATTTTTTGGCAATCAAGACTGGTGATCTCTGTGAAATGTGGATGGCAAGGATTCTGCTTTATGTGCAGTTGTACTTGTTTGAAAAAACTGGGTTTATTACATTAGAATTATGACTGTGACTGTCATCCAGAGAGATGAAGATTGATGAAAATAGTTTCTAAATCTATGACCTCATTCCTTTCTTCTTGAATTTATCTTCTATCCCTTCATGCTCCAGATCTTCGATTGTTTTCATTTAATTTTCCCAAGGATCAGCAAAGATTTCCTTGGAAGCTCTTTGTGCCCCATGTTTTTTGTCAGAACATCTTTTCACAATTTGTCAGAAATCTGCAGTGGCTCTCTGGTGACTCAGGGATTGCTCTATAGCACTGATAAGATAATGTTTAATCATGTATTCCAAAGCAGGAGATTTGGGTCACAGGATTAGTTTGTTAGGAGGCTTCAATCAAGAACATATTAATTAGAATGCATCCTGCATCCAGACAGATGTTTGAATTACTAGAAAAAACGGAATTTTGGATGCACAGCACTGCAGAAAACAATACTTTTAAATTTTTAAGGAATACTTGTGGATTTAGGTTGAAAGGGGGATGTCAGCATGTGGCAGTGATCTTGCAAAATCTCCTTTTTCCCCACCCTGTTCTCTCAGTGTGTTCAGTTGAAGAGTTGAGTTCATGCTGCTGCTTTAAAGTTTAATAAATTGAGGAAGAAAAGAAACTTTTCAGGTGTGCAATGTTAGGACACACACCAATTCTCTGTGGTTTTGCTTTGCAGGGATAGACAGTCGATACAATGAAGGGTGCAGGGAGCTGGCAAATTATCTGCTCTTTGGTTTGTACAACCAGAACAACAATGACTTTGAAAGGACAGGTTTTCCTGAGGAAGTTCTGGATGGTGAGTAATATTCTCAACACTTTTTACCTGTTCTGGACAGAAGATGAGCAGAAAAATGACATACAAAAAAAAAAGAAAAAAAAGTCATTAAGTCTCAAGTTGTCTGTATATACCTGAAAATATCTTCTTAGAAACACTGCTGAAGGACTCATTTTTAAACATAAAAAGATATATTAAATGTGTTTTATGCTCCACAATTTATCTCAAATGTTGTAAACTTACCCAATTACAGTCCATTAGTTCAGTCAATGTGTGTATATACATGTTGTTAATTCTGTGTGATCACACCTCTGCACTTCTAAAATACTTGAGCTCTTTTTTACTTCACCACATTAACTCACCTTTGTCATACTTGGAATGTGGCCAATCCCTGTGATCACAGCTTATTATTCCCTTATTTGCACGAAACTTTTGGATATCTCCCCTGCAGGCTGTGGTGTTGATAGTTTTTTACTTGAAGCAACTCTGATGTAACATCAGGCAAGAGCAGCTGGAGTTTAGAGTTCTGGAAGTGCTCTGGGAAGGCTCATCCTGACCCTCTTGGCTGCACAAAGGACAGGCTGATGCAAGTCCTGTGCAAGACTTGGGAATTACCCCCCAGTTGTCTGGAACAGTAACAAGTGCTTGGAACTGTCTGTGGCTGCCAACTGCTCCTTCTGCTTGTTTAAAAGAAATCAGGAATTGCACTGCGTTCAGATAGCTGAACAATTTTCTTTTTTAATGAGGTGCACAATAGAAAAAATGTTTCTGTTCAGTTTCTCTTGTGTGTGGAGTCCTGATGCTGGAATGTTTGTTGTGATTGTTGCAGATATAATCATATTAATAAAACCTGACAGTGTTCATCTGTACTGCAACCCTGTGAATTACAATCAACTTTTACCCTATGTGGCACACTGGAGGAACTTGCATTTCCACTGTCTGACTGAAAATGAGGTAAGTGAAAAATGAATGCAGACAAGATTTGCTAATGAACTTGTTAATGAACTGATCCTTAAAGTGAAACTTTTAAAAACATTCTTTGCAGAAGCCTTTTTTCTCTTTCCTCCTCAGCAGGGGAGTGATATGTGTGTACATCTGGGTATTATCATTTGCTAAAGTGTGCAAGGAGAATATGTTGTCAATACTTTTATTTGTTGGAGTGTGAGGACAAATTGCTCCTCTCTCCCACTAATTGCTGTTGTTTTGACCTGAGTCAGTGATCTTTTAATGAGGAAAAAAATGTGGGTTGTGAAAAATGCCAAATGTGAGTCAAGTATCACAGTCAGTGCTGAGATTTCCCACATCAGCCTTGTTTGCTGCCAAAGCAACGTTTGCATTGGCTGCTAATAGGTTTAGAATATTAGGAAAGATGGGCTTAGTAAGTCCTTTAAAATCAAGAAACTTCATTATGTATTTTCATTTTAACTATTAAATCTGTCTGTTAAGAACTATTAGCCTCACTTCCACTACATCCCATGACTGATGTGAGTTTCATCTTGAAGTTAAAAGTCAAAGTATTCTAGCGAAAGTCCATTTATTGTTGTGAAATATTTTTAGAGGAGTAAACAATGAAAATACTTTTTGTCTGGGTATAGAATAATGACCTTTTCATGCCAGTGGAGACTGGAAATGCTTCTGCCTACACTGAGTTCTGTGTAGTTCCTTCTCTAAGTTAGAATTGTACTGAATTCTGCTGGGAGTGGGTTTGGAGCCTGTGATGGTGAGTGAAGCCAGTGGAAAAATGAGTGGGAAAGTCAGGGAGAGAAATCTTTTGTTCCCTTGAGTTTCCAGCTTGGGAGTGATGGGGCTTATAATAGACTGATTGTGTTTTTATGTGTCTGGTTGATAGTTTAGATCACAGAATTAGGAAATAACTCAGATTACAAAGGACCTCTGGAGATAATCTTGTCCAGCCTCCTGCTTCAGTGGTGAGATCAGATCAGGTGACTCAAGGGTTTTCTGCAGCTGGGTGTTGAAATCATCCAAGGATGGCTGCAGAACCTCTGCTGGCTGCCTGCTGCATTTTCCCACTGTCCTCCTAGTGAAAAAGTGTTGCCTTTTGTCAAACCAAAACCTGATTGCTTTAAATCAAGACTTTTGTCATGACCACTGTGAAGAGCCTGATTTCACCATCTCAGTAATATTTTGGAGGTGCAGATATTGAGCAAGCCTGGATCTCTCCCTCTGGGACAAGTGCTGCATCCCTCTGATTGTGGTGGCCCTCCACTGATCCTGCTCCAGTTTATAAACACCTTGTCCATGGATCCCAAAATTTGTTGTGGATACAATTCCAGGAGTGCAGCAGAGAGGGATAATTCTTGTTAGGATAGAACAGCTGAGCTCCAGGTTAAAACATGCCCCAGCAAAACCTAAAGCCTGGCTTCACAAGTCTTCTTTGTTGCCAAAATCCTTGCTGAAAGGGCAAATCTGATGCTGGGAGAACACGTGCACTTTGGAATCAGGAGCAGAGGAGTTCTTACCACACAGATGCCAGTGCAGCTGCAATCTCAGCTATTGAATTTTAAGCTTCATCTGCTTATGGGCTTTGATATGATTTATCGTGGTAAAGAACCTTAATCACACAGTGTTGCCTTGAAAAAATGATGTAACTGGCAAGGTGAACTATGTGCTTTGTTCTTTGTGGAAATGAGGGGAAAGGTTGGTTTTGGAAGCTGAAAATACAGTTCCTACTTCATTGTGAGTGAGTGAGCTGAGCACTTCCAGTCACATTCCCAATGTATAAGAATTGGCAGTTTCCTAGATTACTGCTGAAAGACAAACAAAACCTTGCTGTGTCAGGCTTTAAGTGCATCCTGTTTACAGGAGAACTGCCTGCAGTGGCTTTTAAGTACTCACTTTAGGGATAGAAATAACTTCATAAAAATGAAACCAAAAAAGCACAAGAATTTTAGAAATAAATAAAGCAATGCTGTACCTGGCTCTGGCACAACACAGAGCTTCTGCTTCCTTTTTTCCTTCCTACTTGCTTTAACTAGACCACAGGAATTTAAGAGAATATCCTAGTTATTGGGCAAAAAATTATCCCATATTGTTAAAAAAAATGCTCATGTTCAAAGTGACCAAGTAGGATTAAATACAGAAATTTGCTCTAGCAAATTTTGGGGTGCCACGGTCGAACTGGCTGCAACAGCAGATTGTGAGCAAGCCTTTAGCACCCTGCCAAAACCCAAGTTCTTATTCCAATGACATTTTGAAGTCTTGAGAAACTGGCAGTTGTTTGGGGCTTGGCTTTGAGCTGCAGCTTTGATCTGGCTTCCTGGGATTGAAGGAGGAACACACCACAGAGGAGCTGGGGCTGCAGCTTCAATTCAGGCTTGGTTTAAAAGAGCTTGTTCTTAAAATAAATGTGTTGGGTGTACCCTGAAGCTCACAAAAAGTTCATAATCATGTCATTTGCCTTGATAAGAAGCTCAGAGCACTGAACATAAAAATAAAATAAAATAACATAGGCAAAACACCTCTGCCTTCTGATCTTGCTCCAGAAAACAAGTGGCTCTTGAAGAAGCCTGCAGGGCTGGACCTGTTGGTTCCAGGCTTGCTGCTAAACTGCTTCTCAGGTCAAAGCCAGTGTGTTTGCAGGTTTGTGTTCTGTTATAAAAATGACTTTGTGTGATTTGTCTCTTCAGTCTGGTTTTTATGCTTTTCTGAGTTAGGAAATTTGCTCTTCAGTCTGCTGAAGTCTTCAGTTCTGACAGTGTTGCATGAGGGTTTGTCCTCTTCTTGCCTCCTCCTTTTCCTGCAGTTCACCTCTCCCTCAGACCAAAACTGATTCTCCTTGCCTAATCTGTGACCTGGGGCTTATTGTGACATTGATTTTCCTTGCTCAGTGTTGGTTAGCTGGTAATACATTATCTTAATTTTTTTTTCCCTCAGTGGTACGTTTTTTCGTAGCACATCAGTTGGTACCCTCACAGTTACTTTTATCTTTCAAATCTGGATGTTGAAAGAGTTGAACTGAAACTTCAGCTGACTGAAAGCTGAAAATAAAGTCTGTAATTATGCCTTCATATGTCATGATTAAAAACCTTGAAGTCTGATTTTTTTCCAATTTTCCATTGGCTTGAGTACATCCCTGCCATGATGGGATTTCCAAAATCCCAAAGCACCTCCCAAAAATGCCTTCAGGAGCCTGTAGGTGATATTTTAGTGCTTTACATACTGCATCTTCTCTTTCCTACCAATCAAATTAGGGCATGCCTAATCCAATTTGATTTTAACTGGCTTCTTTCAGTATGAGGATGAAGAAGCTGCAGAGGAATTCAAGATTTCCAGCTTTGTGGACATGGTCAGGGATTGCAGCCGCATCGGGATCCCCTACAGCTGCCAAGGTAGGGTGGGTGACCCTCAGAATTTTTAGTTTTTGGGGTGTTTTTTTGGGTTTTTTTTTTTTTGGTCTTTTTTTGGGTTTGTTTTTTATGAAGGTTGAGATTGAAGGTATTTGAAATGGTATTTCACATTCAAACTTAGATTTTTAAAAAATTTGTTTTACAGTTTCATAAGTAGTGAGTTCTGTAATATTTTACTAACAAGGTATAAAATGGCTAACTGTCTTTCTTTACAAGAAGAACCTTAAAAGATTAAACTATCTAATTAACAAAATTATATTTCAATTATTTTAATTTTTAACTCAATAACTAATCTTTTGTGTCCTGCAATGTGGATTTTTTTGTCTAATTACAAAATATTCCTTAAACTCATGAAGAAGAAGGTGAGGAAGAGCAACTGGCTACTACTTTAAAACTTCTTATATAGCTTTATATATATTATTATATTTTAAAACTTTAAACTCTATGTTTTCTACTTCGTGATGTCACACACTCTTATTCAAATGACACACTTGTAATCTTAGTGCTGTTAATCAATTTTGGAAGCCTTCTCTACAGCCTTAGGTTAAATATAATATTCTCCTGTGGGTCTGTGCTTTTCAAAACAGAAAGTTTAAAATTCTCAGCATCTAGAGTTCCAACACAGAATGGAAGTGTTTTTGTACCCTGCAGCTTCAGGGAATGAAGATTTCCTTGCCTTAGAAGTGAAATAAGGATTACTAAGTCATTAGTTTCCTTTCAGCATCTTTTTTCTTAAGAGTTGAATTTCTTTCTGAGAACTGGAAGCCCTCAGAGTTCATTTGGGGAGCGAATGCCCCAGCGTGAGGCAGAGAAATGATTTGCATTCAGAGCAGTGTCTTGAGCTGCTACAGAACTTCTCTGTTCCCATGGGAGCTCCAGATAAATCCTTCTTTATGGAAGGGGAGAATAAACATTTCTTTATGCAAGTTTCCTTTTTTAGAACTGAAAAAAACTGCCCTGCATGGCTTCCTGTTGGGATCTGGAGCCAGCCATGAGCCTCAGCACTGTAATCTTGCATTCTTTTTTTATTCCTAATTCTTTATTGCTTCCCTTAGGGAAGGCTGATATGCTCTGACTGCCTCAAAAGTCATTAATGGAAGTGCTAGGAGGAAATTTTAATCTCCCTCAACTTAAAATTCTGATTAAATGAGGATGATGGAAGAAATTCCTCTCTGTGAGGGTGGTGAGGCCCTGGCACAGAGTGCCCAGAGAAGCTGTGGCTGCCCCTGGATCCCTGGAAGTGCCCAAGGCCAGGCTGGACAGGGCTTGGAGCACCCTGGGACAGTGGAAGGTGTCCCTGCCCATGGCAGGGGGGAATGGGATGAGCCTTAAGGTCCTTTCCTCCAAACCATTCTGGGATTCTGTGATGTTGTATTTCAGTATTTACTTAAGGTCGAGCATTTGATGAACTGGAGTAAGCAAAGCTCCCTGTTTATTTTCTTGAATTTTAATTGTTAATCAGCATGTAATGAAGTTTGCAAGGAGATGGGGAATATCCTGAAAAAAAAGGACAAAATTTAGGGTGTAGAGGAGCTTCTAAAATTGTTGTCTGCATGAAAAATATTTTTCACTTCAAGATTTTCGGTTGTACAGTTGTTAATCAGCATGTAATGAAGTTTGCAAGGAGATGGGGAATATCCTGAAAAAAAAGGACAAAATTTAGGGTGTAGAGGAGCTTTTAAAATTGCAGTCTGCATGAAAAATATTTTTCGGTTGTACAAAAATGGGATTTTTGTACAACTGAATCTGTGAATCCCAAGAACTCAGGGAGAGCTGAAATGCCAGGATTTGTGAGGGAATGTTGCTGTGCTTGCTTTGCAGGCCACCTGCAGATCTTTGACATGTTCATTGTGGAGAAGTGGCCGATCGTCCAGGCCTTCGCGCTCGAGGGGATCGGGGGCGACGGCTTCTTCACCATGAAATATGAAGTGAGTGCTTCCCTCAGTCATTCCCTTCCTGAAGCAGAACTTACTCAGGAACTTATTTGGTTTGGAAAGCACTTTTGGAGATGATCTAGTCCTGACTCACTGCTCATTTGGCTGGAGGTTTTTGGGATCTTGTAAAACTGTGGCAGGATGGAGACCCTGTGGCATGGCTGAGGTTCTGTTCTGGGTTACACAGCACTTTTTCCTGCATAAACCATTATTTGGACATTCTCCCTAGGCCTCTGCTGTGATTTAGGACTTCCCTTCCCTTCCCTTCCCTTCCCTTCCCTTCAGCTCTCCCTGAGAGGTTATTCCCTCTGTCATTCAAAGCTCTGCCCTTCCCTTCCCTTCCCTTCCCCTCCCCCCCTTTTTCCCCCTTTTCTCCCCCTTTCCCCCTTTTCTCCCCGAGCCACCTCTACCAACAACCAATTTTTATACCCCTAGATGGATTTTTTTACCCCTAATTTTTTAGATGGGTTCTAGATCTTCAAGAGCAGAGCAGGAGGAGCTGGTTAGTGACAAACACCTTGAGATGAGCTCAGAAAATAAGAAAAGACTATTCTTGGGTCACTGGTTTTGACTGAAGAGATGCATCCCCTTCTCTCCCTGACATTGTATATTCAGGGGTCATCATACCCTGCTCAATAGGGCAACAGTCAGGGTTTAATTGCTGCTGTATTTCATAATGATTTGCTGTTCCACTCCGAGCAACTTGTGTCACTGATTTGCCCATTTATTAATCATGCTCTTAACAGCATTTTCGGATGACAGCTTTGCATTTCTGTGCTTATTGAAAGCTTCTTTGCTTTCATTTTTTGACTCTCTGCCACAGCAATGCAGATGTTCCATTTTTCTTATCACTCCTCTATTTTTACAGCCACAATGGGCTTTTGTCTGACTCCTGATAGCTGGAAACCTCCAGAGAATTAATAGTGCCATTTTAAAAGTATCATCATATCTATAATTGTACATGCTTGCTCAGAAATATTCTCTGTGAGTTCCTGTGCCTTTCTGAGCACTGTTGTCTTTCCACTGGGTGGAAAATTTTAAGCTTTTTAGGGTTTTTTTCAGGTTTTTTTTTCCATTCCATCACTGGTGCTGTAACACCTTGTGGTGTGAACCTGCCTAAACACAGAGAGCAAACGGATGAGCATCTTTGGGGAGGGCAGCCAGTCACCCTTCTTGATGCCTGAAATGAATAAATTAAAATTTCACTGATATTTCAGGAGCTGTTTAGGTCTTTAACTGCCTTTTAATTACCCCAGTTCATTTCAGAAATCTGTAGAGGCTCTGAAAAAAATGTTCAGACAGGGTGGCACAGACAGAACCTCTCCTGTGTGATCCAGGGAGCTGATACTGTCCCCAAGCACTCCTGGAATGCCTCAAAAGGAGCAGGGAAAATTCTTGGACTCCTTTTTTGAGAGCAATCATGTTGGCTCTGGCAGTCCAGCCAGCTCCAGCTGGAGTTCTTGTTCGCTTCCTCCTTGAAATCATGAGGGGATTTCAAATGGGAAGTGACATTCTTAACTTGGTACGTGTTTGTGTGGTTCTGTGTCACTGAGGGGGGAGGAAACCAGGCTGGAAGTGCATTTGGGATCACTGTAAATCATCTATAAATTAATTCTTCTGCCATTATTAAAAGGGGAGGTTTTTGGTGCATTTTTAGCTCAGGCTTTCCCTCTGAGATTTTCTCTGTGCTGTGTGTTCTCTTAGATTGGAATATATGAAGAATGATAATTCAGGATTTTCCCCAGTCTTTTAAAGGCAGTTGCTCTTTTACTGGATAAATCAGAATTGTGCATGATGCTGTAATTTAGAAAATTTCCTGTATTCATAGGAATGGAAGTGAGGTCTGGGAAGTCATTATTGCATGAGTACCTGGAATAACTGTAAAGCAGTGGCTTAAGAAAATTCCAGCCAGTGTTGCATTTTTAACTGAGTGGGTGATGTGGAGCCCTGTAAATGCAGAATCATTCAGATACCAGTGCCCCTCAATAATGTATTTTTAAATATTATTCTCCATATGCATCATCCTCCTACTTGGAAGAAAGAATTGCAAAGTTAAACTGTCTTAGCCTAAATTTACATCAGCTTGGAGCAAGTATTGGCTGATGCTCAGGATGAGTAACCCTGGAATTGGCTCTTAGCTGTCTTAACTCAGAGAACTCATCTTGCCCTTTTGCCTGCACCAGCTCATGCAGTTCTTTGCTATTAAATTGAAAAAAATATTGTGAAATTATTTGTTTGGAGGATGCAGAGAAAGCTCTGCCCAGAGTTCAGACCCTCACTGGTCGTGTCTTTTGTAACAGAGTGAAAATATTTGTGAAATGAGAGTGGAAATATTTGTGAAATCAGAGTTAAGGAGCACTGTTAGACAGGGCAGTGTTCCCTAATCCTGTCTCATCCTAAACCTGGATCTGTGGCCTTCTTTGTGGTGTTTTTCACAGAAATGTGTTTAAATTCTCTTTCAGTTAATGGATGTCAGTGCTGATTTGTGGAAGACCTACAGCAAAATGGATCCTGTGTCCTTGGAGGATTTGCTTTTTGAGGTAATGCAGGTGAAATGTTCTGCCTCAGCTCCACAGAATGAAAATTTGATTTTGTTTGCTTTTAATTAAGTTTATGGGCTTAATTTACAGGCTCTGCCTGCTGTTGCTTGCAGGGTCTCCTCGCATTCCTTAAATCTACCACAAACTCTGCAAAACACTAAAATAACTTGTCTTGCTTTCTTTGAATTTACTGCTTTGCCTGAAAATCTCCTAAAAACTTTCCTTCGTGTCATTAAACCATGTGCAAAACACATGAAGTTGGTGTGGTTTTGTGTGTTGATCCTCCTTTTGCAGCAAGGAGGGTTAAAAAAAATCCCCTTTAACACACAACCATTCTTCCAGGAGAAAAAAACCAAACATTTTTCAGATTTTTGTAGCTCCTTAAAGTGGGGAACAGTGACACTCAGTGGCTGCCCTGGTGCTTTGGGAAATACAAACAGAGGGAAGGGATTCTCACATTAATGCCATGCCCTGATCTCAGTGCTAGAGGAAAAAACATTGTATAAATATTAGTATTTGTAATTATAATTTATAATTTATTAGTATTTATACTTTAATAGTAAATACATTTTATAATTCTTGGTATATATTAATTTTTAATCTGTTTCTAGCTTGATAGCAATTTAATATGTGCAAAATTCAGCAGTAATTATCCTTTATTAATAAAATATTGGTAATTCACACCAATTTGGTTGTTCAATCAACTGCTGTAATGAAAATTAAAATATCACAGAGTTTTTACAAGGCTTTCAGTTTAAATAATCACTCTCTGATATTTCACTTCTCCTTTCTGTGTGGAAGTGAGATTAATGTTTCAGACTTGCCCTACACCCTGAGCAAACCTTTTATTATAATTTGAAATTTTCAACCTGAAAGTTGTTGTTCAATTGACTTAAATTTTATGAAAACAATAAACATAAACCACACACCCACAAAAAGACACCCTGAAGTCCAGCAGAATGTCCTTATCTTCTAAAATATATTTATTTTCCTGTGCTTATTGTTTCATTGGGCAGTCTGTATTCAGTGAAGTGTCACCTTTGCCGTCATTTCTCTTGCCTTGGGAAGTAATGTCAAATATTTTCCTTCTAGGATTTAATGATTTTTGAACACCAATGGACCAATTTTTTTGCTAATTTTGACACTGAAATTCCCTTCATTCTGGAACTCTCAGAATCTCAGGCTGGGGAGGTAGGCCTGCTTCAGCAATTCTCAATTATCAATGCAGAAGGAATAATTATTCAGCATTAATTTGGGGTTTTTTCCCCCCTATCCCATCTCACTTTTCATGTTTGAGGGGTAAAACCACATAGTTTGGATTTTTTTAAAGTCGCCACCCACCTTAAAAATCCATGGTATGATGGCTTAGAACTGCAGGGGTAATTCAGTCAAGTGTTTGCTCACTGGTAATTCAATTTATATCTGCACAGGAGATATTTGTGGGTAGATTAACTTGCATTTGGATGGAATCTGGTGTGTGCAGGGCTTAACAAGATGAATTTGCACATCTCAAACCTCAAACAAAACTGAGGGGTGGCACAAAGCATGGGAGAAAACAGCACAGCATTTCTGGGGGTGGCTGTTGCTTTTTTTTGATGCATTTTGCTGCTTTTCTGATGCATTTTGCTGCTTTTTTGAAGCATTTTGTTGCTTCCTCTGGGATGGTGGAAGGGGTTTGGAATGAAATGGGCTTTAAGGTCCCTCCCAAACTAAATCATTCAGTGATTTAATGATATGAGAGACTTAGTGATGTTTGGGTTTGTTTGTGGAGGTTGGAAGTATTTTCTGAGGGTTCAGGAGTTTTCTCTGAGAAGGATAATTCAGGTTTAATTAATGAGAGGATATTTCACACTTCTGTCCTTGTACTTCTTAGTAATTTTTGTTTTCAACTCTTCACAGCCCTTCAGAAGTTATTTCAGCCATGGTATGATCTCAAGCCATATAACAGATAACAGGTAATTATTACTCATTATTATTACTCATTACTCCCTCTGGTGTCACTACTACCTCAATATTTTATTTCCATGTCCCTGATGCCATAATATTAAAAATTCTTTTTGGTATCACCTCAGTAGATGAAATCTCATATTTAAAAAAGCCTGTGCAAAGTTCCTTCATGTCCTCGGAAGATAAGCTGAATTTTGCCAGGGTTTAATGCTGTAGTTCTTACCTGTACCATGAAATTTTGTGCATTATGATCAGTTCCTTCCCTGTTCCATGCCTGGAAAAGGTTGGATGGGGCTTGGAACAACCTGGGCTAGTGGAAGGTGTCCCTGCCCATGGCAGGGGTTGGACTGAGATGCTTTAAGGTTCCTTCCAACCCAAACCATCCTGTGATTCTGTGAGAGAGTTTCAACCAAAAGTTGTTGTTTAGCTGAAGGTTCTGTTGCAAAATCCATGTTCTGCTGTTGTGAGCTAATGAAGGTTTGTTTAGATAATTCAATCTCTCTGCACATTCTCCTCTGTTTGGAGTAAACAGGTGGAGTTTAATGCCCTTTATTGCTGGCAGCATCCTCTGGTGTTTGCATTGCAATAAAGAAAAGAAAATCCTTGACCTCTCCAGCTGAGTCTTGGGCCCAAAGCCAAAACTAAACCCAAAATAGTTTTGTTTGTTTTCAACACAGTAATTTCAGGGCTTTTCAAGATGGTGAATTTTAAACTAAGCAGCTTTTCAAGGAAGTTTAAGATAAAAGAATCTTCTAAGAGCATTGGGAACAACCTTGAGATAAATTTATTGTATCTGAAAGAAATTATCATCTATTTTAATGCAAGTAGATTTTTTTCTTTTGAACTTGCTCATTTCACTGTGAAGCTTTGTGCAGCTTTAGTCATTTTTTATTATTATAATGAGAAATGCAGCAGTTGAAAGCTTTGATTTCATTTGTTGGTTGTAAACTTCCTGCAAGTATTTTGGTGGTGATTCCCTGTCTCCTCCTCAGCCCGAGCCGCCAGCCCTTTGTCCTGTTTGGCAGCCACTCCACAAAGGAAAACTTGAACACTGGGAACTTTAATTTTCCATCTGAAGGACATCTGGTCCGAAACACTGGCCTTGGTGGAAGCACTGCCAAGCATATGGTAAGGCTTTGGAAAAGTTATCTGAGATTTTGGGGTATATTCTCTTTTTCTTTGTGTATTTTCTGTGCTTGTCTTTCATGAGTTCAATGCCTAATTCTTCTTAACATAAAGCACCTTAGCAATCCATCAGGTTAAGGAACAAATGTGATTTTTCTTGCTCTTTCCAAGTGAAACTGTACTGGACTCTTAATCAGGGACTGCTGAATGAGTTAAAATAATTTATTCTCTGGAAAAAGACAACTTTTGCTGTAAGTGAGTGGTGGAGTGCTTGTCTTTCATGAGTTCAATGCCTAATTCTTCTTAACATAAAGCACCTTAGCAATCCATCAGGTTAAGGAACAAATGTGATTTTTCTTGCTCTTTCCAAGTGAAACTGTACTGGACTCTTAATCAGGGACTGCTGAATGAGTTAAAATAATTTATTCTCTGGAAAAAGACAACTTTTGCTGTGAGTTAGGGAGAGGGAAATGCTGTTTGTGTCCTGACCACAAAGTGAAAACCTTCTGTGATACACTTAACTGTGACACACAAATTCTATTTTAATCACATTTATTTAGCCATTTCTTAAAAAAGAAATAAAAAGCCACTTTTTTTTTTTTTTTGGTAACACCTTTGTGAATAAACCTGTATCCAAATTCCAGTGCGTACTTCAACAACTATTGACAAAACTCTGAAAAACCTTTCATAAAATTCCAGGACTCTTCTGATGAAGTTGCAAAGCTTGTTTCCATTTCCAAGTAAAAGCTGGGTGGTTGAACATGATTAACTTGTTTCCATTTCCCAGTAAAAGCTGGGTGGTTGAACATGATTTTCCCAGTAAAATCTGGATGGTTAAACATGATGAACTTGTTTCTATTTCCCAGTAAAAGCTGGGTGGTTGAGCATGATTTTCCCAGTAAAAGCTGGGTAGTTAAACATGATGAACTTGTTTCCATGTCCAAGTAAAAGCAGGGTTGTTAAACGTGATGAACTTATTTCCATTTCCCAGTAAAAGTGAGATGTTAAACGTGATGAACTTGTTTCTATTTCCCAGTAAAAGGTGGGATGTTGAACATGAGGAACTTGTTTCCTTTTCCAAGTGAAAGTTGGGATGTTAAATATGATGAACTTGTTTCCATTTCCCAGTAAAAGATGGGATGTTAAACATGATGAACTTGTTTCCTTTTCCAAGTGAAAGTTGGGATGTTAAATATGATGAACTTGTTTCCATTCCCCAGTAAAAGGTGGGATGTTAAACATGATTAACTTGTTTCTATCTCCCAGTAAAAGGTGGGATGTTAAACATGATGAACTTGTTTCCTTTTCCAAGTGAAAGTTAGGATGTTGAACATGATTCACCTGTTTCCATTTCCCAGTAAAAGCTGGGGTGTTAAACATGTGCTGAGGTCCGTCTGCGGCGCAGGGGCCGTGCCTGGGCAGGCCACCCCAGGGATTTGGGATCCTCTGGCTGGAGGGCCTGGGTGGCTCCAGAAGGCAACTTGGCAGCGAAGGAGGAGAGAGGTAGAGTGTGGAGAGAGCTCCCTGCTGCCTCCAGGGGCTCTGGGAGTGGTGTGAGCCCTGAGCAGGTGGATGTGGCCATGCTGGAGTGAGAGCATGAGTGAGGCCATGAGTTGATGAGATTGTCAGCATTTCATGTGCAGCTGCCTCAGGGATGGATGGATGTGGGGCTTCTGGGCACAAATCACGTGTGCAGAGCCTGAGAAAAGAGTGGTTTTGCATCTTGGTGAAATCTCATCCTCCATTTGCTGCTTTTAACGCTATTTCTGTGAAAACACTTTCAATTCTGTCTTTCCTTCCCTTGTTAACAATAAGATGCCATTTGATACCTTTGAAAATGCAAGTACTGTGTTATTGTGATGTACTTGCTCCATCTGTTGTCCTCAGATTCTGATGCTGTTCTTAAAAAGGTGGTTTATTTACAGGTACAGGTGATACTGTTTTAATAGGGTGTCATGAAAATAGTAAATAAGACCAAGTGCCAGCGTAGTTATGGGAACCTGACCCACTTTCCTCTTCATGAAAAGAGCAGTTGACATAGGAAATTGAAAACACAAGTCAGAGCTCATCTCCTTTCCAAAGTCTTTCAACCATTCAGGTCAAGTCAAAAGTGAAATAGACCTTTGAAAACGTAAGTTGCCTTTTCACAATCCAGTTCTGTGTTGTAAACTTCTGTAGTCTGTCAGTGCTTAGAAGACTTAAGGGGAATGTAGTTAATTGTTAATTATTGCACCAATTTGCTTTACTGATGTCTTTTGTATCTCATTAATACTGACTGCTAGGTAGTGCAGTGTGTATCTCCAAAGGGACCTCTGGCTTGTTCAAGGACCTATTTTTTTGGAGCCACTCACATTCCTTTCCTGGGTAAGTGCATTAAATACACAATAATGCAGTTATTGCCTCTGATTCCATGAAAATTTGTAGCAATTAAAGGCTTTGCTTCCTTTCTGAGTGGTAAATTCTGTAGCCAGTGCACGAAATCATTGCAGATTTTGTGGGTAAAATCTGTCAGATCTGAGTTTTGAACGTAACATTTGTCAGATCTCAGTGTGCAGACCCTTTTAAAAGTATTAAACAAATACTTAAGTCCATTTTCCATATGGATTTATAAAAAAACAATCTCCAAAATACAGTAATTCAAACTGGGAGTTGTCAAGTAATTCAGAATTTTTAGAAGGATGAAGGAAATTCTTTCACTTCTTTTATCCTCAGTATAATGAGTTAGAGTAGCTGTATTCCCAAATAAAAACAAGCCATGTAAAATTTTTAACCATTTTCTTATATAGTTTAAATGGCTGGAAGAGTCCATGGATGAAGTCAGTCCTTAGGGTTGTCTTGAAAAAAACCCCCCAAAACATATGCATCTAAAAATAGAATATATAACATAATATAATATAACATAATATAACATAACATAACATAACATAACATAATATAATATAATATAATATAATATAATATAATATAATATAATATAATATAATATAATATAATATAATATAATATAAAATGTATTTTATATGTTATGTATTTTATATATAATATATATGTTATATATTATATACATGTTTTATATATATATATATACTGGGCTCAGAAAAGCTGAAGAAAGGATGGTTGGAGAATTGGAATTTTGCCCTAGTAGCATAAAATGCTGGATAAATTCCATGTAAGATGTGCAGCAGAAATGTTCTCAGAGTGCTTAAACCAAACCTTTTTAAAATTTATTTTTGTTTTATTATTTTTGTTTTAATACAGGAAATGACAATGAGATGCACAAGCAAGCTGAGCAAGTGTAAGCTGCCAATTTTTTATATTATTCCTTAACTCTTCTCCCTTTCTACCTCGTGGCAGTAGGAGAAACCTGCTTTTAGTGGCTGTTGGCATCTGCAGGGACATTTGAATTCAGAATAATGGGCATGGGACAGGATTGCAAAGGCAAAATGCTTGTGGGGAGCAGTGAGTGCATGAGGAGTTGTTAGGAAAGGAAATATTAATAAATTAATAAAATTTGCTCAAATTGTAGTGAACAAAAAAATCTTAACACTTACTTGAATAATTTTGAAAGATACTTCACGTAAACGAAGGGGGAAAAGTCCCTCACACTGTAGCATCTTGCACAGATAGAAGAAAAAGTAATTTTTGGACCAGTTTCATCAACAATATGGAAGATTTCTGATGCTCAGTGAAAATGCCAACAGGGAACTCTCAAACTTGTGAAGAAATTCACTGTGTTCAAGTTAAATCAAACTTAATTTTTCCTAAACTTTGGGAAGCTGCAAAGCTTCTGCACATTTTAACCTTCTCAAAATCCCACTTTGTTTATCCATGTTGATGTCCACTTCTTGTGCATGATCCCTGTCCAGCTTGGAGAACACAGTAGAAAATCTGCTTTGTTCTCTCTCTCTTGATAAATCAGACTTTTCCTTAGAGATTTTTGTCCTCCTTATTAGTTGGGATCATTTTAGGAGCCTTTTTTTTTGCAGCTGCATGACCTGGTAGCAAGATACAGAAAATATTAAAGATGTGTCAGTACTGTCACACTAAATACTGTTGGCTCTTGGTAATTGTGAGACATAAAAATGCACTGAGCAGCAGATTTTCCTTTTTTTAAAGAAAACTGAACTCCAACAGGTGTTTTTTCTTGCATCTATGTACTGGTAAAATACTTTTTGTTCTCCTTCAAAAATTCTTTGTACTGAATGCATTTTAATCAAGATGAGCAGAGAAGCTCTAAACAAAGCAGGGGTTGATAAAGGCAGTAATTTAAAAATAATATCTTTTCCTTGGAAGCATCCCTGTATTGGTTCAAATAACCTAATTTCAACAACAGTAGTATAATTGGCTTTTTTTGACAAACCTGAACTCATGATTTTCAGCTTGGTTTGCAGTTTTGCCCTGCTTCTTACAGTTGTCAATATTTTATAAAAAGTGAAATAAAAAATATTTTCTGAACACTATTCATTCCAAATTTGGCTGTACTGATTGCCTGGAGTGCATAAACCAAGTCTGTAAATGGAATGATAAACTGGGATAAATTTTTTGGTTTTATTTTTATTTTAAGAAAATACTTCCAAAGCAGCACAGAATAAATCCTGTGCTGCTCTTTTTTTTTTTTTTCACTGCTAGCTTTAAAATGTTAAAACGGGAAGAAGAATAAGACAAAGGACACCTCACTGAGGTGTTTTCTTGCAAATATATCTGTAAATTTGAGGGAAAATAAGAATGGTTACAAAGCCTGGAAGAATGACAATATAAAGGAATTACATTGCTTTACTGGGTGCAGTGAAATCATGCTAAGTGCATATGAAAGCACAGGAAATTACCATCCAGAAACCTGAAAAAATAGTGAGAAAGCTGAATTTTAAAACCACTTGCTGCTGTTGGGGATGATCCAAGACAAGCTTTGGTGCATTTTGAGGTTCCTCCATGGTTGGGATCTTCAGATGCTTTTTTTCCATCCTTCAGGAATGCTTTGCATTTGGCTTAAATGCTGTTTCCTTCTCTTTCCTCCCTGCTCTTCCCTCCCTCAATATTGGCAGTGGAGTAATGAGAAAAATTAGGGAGTAATTTTATTGGTCTGCTCATGTTTTGGTTGTAATTTAGCAGGAAGACAGAGGCTGATGTTCCTTGGTTGGGCACACGTGGGGTTTTTCCCCAGTGGTTCTGGAGCTGTAAATGTATCAATAATAGAAAGTCACTCCTGGCTTCACCTGACTTTGGTTTATTTCTGTACCATTTTTTCAGTCCTCTGTTAAGAAGAGAATTGGACTAAGCTGGGATGGAGTTTTCATGGAATTGTGGAGTGGTTTGGATTGGAAGAGATCTTTAAAGATCATGTCATTCCAATATTCTGCTAGGAAAGGGAGGGACAGCAGGGACACCTTCCACTGTCCTAAGTGGCTCCAAGCCCTTGGACACTTCCAAGTGGCCTTGGACACTTCCAGGGGCAGCCACAGCTTCTCTGGGAATTCCATCCCAGGGCCTCCCCACCCTCTCAGGGAACAATTCAGGATCCCATCTATCCCTCCCTCCTGTCAATGTGAAGCCATTCCCTCTGTCACTCCAGGCCCTGCTTTTAGGATGTGATTCTTAAACCCACCTGCAGCAAAAAGCAACAGTAAAACACATTTTTTATTCCTGTCTAACAAAAGCACCAGATACATTTATATCAAGAGTTATTTCCCTAAAAATATCCTGTAATTTGAGCAATTTCCTCGCTCTAATTTAATTTTCTTAAACAGAAAGCTTAAATATAAAACTATTTATTCCAACAAAGACCCCTTCCTTATTATTAAGGGAGTTGTGCAATGAGAGGAAAAACTGCTCCTTTAAAGAGAGGAAGAAGCAAACTCTGCCTGTCCAGTAAATGTTGTGTTTGTATTTCTCTTCAGTACGCTGTTGTCGCAAATATATTCTGCTGTTGTAGAGGCTGTGCTTGCTGGCATTGAGTGCTATGCTAAAACTTCCACTGAATCCAAGGTAAATGAAGTTGGTAAATGAAATTTAATTGTTCTCTCTCTGTAATTGTTGATTTGGATTGCTTGCAGTGTGAGATTTATGTGCAAACCAAAAAGAAATCCAAAAGAATTCCCGTGTTTGGCTCAATGGAATAACACAAGGTTCAAACCCTGGCCTCTGAATTCTGTTTAAAAAAAAATAAAATAAAAGAGAGATTTCAGAGTGTGTCTAATTTTACCCATCTCCAATTGGTTTTCCATCTTCTCATGAATTTTCCTGACCTCATAGTAAGGCAAATGAGATCTGTGAAAGAACAAATTTTAGCCTGGTGCATCAGTGTGTCACTGTTTAGTGTCTCTTGTTGGTCTTAGGGTGCTCCTGGAGCTGCTGGGATTTGGGAAAGGATGTTTTAATTTTTATTTCCTTTTTTCAGGCAAAGGAGGTGGCAGAGCAGGTGCTGCTGTCTGTGTTAGACACCCTTGGCTTAGCACAGCTGAAATCTGCTCTACGGTGTGTATTGCCAGACTTGCTCATTTGGCTTCTTTGGGGAAAAAAAATAAATTATAAATGGAAAAAGACTAATTTTAAACTGAGCTTGTCCAACTGCCAGATTTCAGGATTTCATAATGCATTCAGCCTATAAAAGTCATTATAATGATTGCATTTTCCAGTTTTCTTAATCACTTCTTTTGCTTTAAGTCTATTCTTGCTTATTTTCTCCATTAAAAAAATATAAACCACACATTTCACCTGTACAATTTCTATCCTACAGCTCCAAAATTGCTTTTCAAATCCAGGCTGTGAACAACCATGGCAGGTTTGTATCACTGTCTTACCACTTTTTGTTATTAATTAGTGCTTTTCATACACTAATAAATAAATTTTTCTCCACTTGGAACTCCTGCAAAAACCTTTGTGTTTGATTATTTCACACAAGGTGTGCTCAGTACTTTTGTGTATGAAGTAGTTGAGTGATTTCATATCTGTAATTCTGTGGAATCTTAAAAACATTAAAAGGAATAAAAAGCAGTTGGGCAGACTAATTTTTATTAACTGTTAATGAGTAGAAGCAGCATGAGCTCATTAAGAGTTTCCTTTTAAAAATGCTTTTTAATTAGTTGATATTACAAACTGTGCTTATTTAATCCCCACACTAATTGACTGAAATGACCTGCACAAATAAGTGTTTATTTTAAAATAAAACAGCTTTTTTGGCTGCTGTGGAGTCACAGAAAGATGATGTAACTTAAAAAAATGTAATTATCATTGTTGTTCTAGAATTACTCCATTAGATAACGAGGACAGCCTGAGTTTGATCAAAACGGTAAGAAATAATAATATTTATTCATTTAATTAGAAAATAGAGCTCAAGTGTCTGTTTTACTGGGGCACACTGAGATTTTTATGTGAATACAAGTGTAAGAGGAGACATGAGAGATTTCAGATGCTGGACCAGGTTTAACAAGAAGTCAGAATTCAGAATAAAACATTAACACACATTTATGATCTCAGGCTTTAACCACAACATAGAAATAGTGGTTTAGGATGTTTGAAAAATACAAATTTTGCTTTTTCAATTGAAATATTTCAAGTTCTGCTTTCTCTTCCCTCCAACTGCTGGATGGCTGCAGGCATCCATGATGGTGTTTGACATTCCAGACCTGCTCACAGGCAGAGGATGCTTGGGATCTGTTGTGTTTTCAGAGTCCTTCCTGACATCACAGATACAGGTCAAAGAAAAAGGTGAGTGGTTTCAATTCTGAAATTCAGCACCACTCTTTTCCTTCTGTTGGCTTTGCTGTGATGGGAGAGCCAAAGGAATTCCAATGGATGTTTTTGTTCTTACCCTGATGGGTTTGGAACACTAAGAGCAAAGGAAGAAGCCATGGAAAGATCAGGATAAATCAGGATTTTTTGGCACTCTGTAGCGCAAGAGGACTGGGAGTTACTCTGCTGTGAAAGCTTCATTTAAACCCTCAGAAATCCTTAAAATAATAAGATTTTCATATTTACTAAAGCAATTTCAAGTCTTAAAAGTAACATACTGGGCATTCTGAAGTATGAGGGTGGTATAAATTTACTGGCCATGGTGATATTAGGTCAGAGGTTGGATTGGTGATCTTGAAAGTCTTTTCCAACCTTAATAATTCCCTGATTGCACTGCTTTGTTTCCCGTGGCTTCCCTGCAGATGGCAGCATCCAGCCAGACTCCAGACACGTTATCCTGACTGCAGCTATCCCAAGATTTGCTTCCTGGCTGGTGAGTGAGAGCACAGAGCCTCAACTCAGCTCATCCACAGGGCAAAACTTGCTCTGAGACTGGGCTGGGCCGAGGGAAAACCTGGAACCTGAGCATTGAAACACAAAGTTGTAATATTAACATGCTCTGGTTTTTTAGATTTGGACAATAAGTGAAAAATTAAGTGGAAACAAAGTGATGGTTCCATGCATAACAGGAGTTTAAAATTATAATTATTACTTAAAATTCAATTATAATTTTAAATTATAGTAATTATTATTGTTATTATTACTACTATCACTATTATAATTTTCATTTTCATCTCGTCAGATTTTTATCTTTTTAAAGGTCTGGTTGTTTTTGAAGTGCACAGTGTGACTTTTGAAAATTCTGTGTCTTTTGGGGCATTTTAGATCAGCCCAAAAGAAAGCAAAGTCTGATTCAAGACCTCTGATGCAGTACCCTGTGTGAGAGATGGAATTCCAAAGAATTGAAAATTCCATCTGGGCATTGCCCTTTGGCAGTGCATGCCTGAACAGTAATAAAAAATAAAACTGCATACTTTCTACCTATATAATATTTTAGTCTATAAAACAATTTAATGGGGTGAATGTGGTGCAAGAAATTATTGTTGTCCCATGGTAACACAGTATTAAGAGCACAAAATTGTTTTTAAAACTCTCTGGGCTCAGGGCTTTTTCTGTCTGTAGTACCTGAGGTTCTTGTTAGCCTCAAAACTTGTTTAATGCTTTTTTATTTAATGTTAGACTTGCTTTATTTGTATAAATCACAATTCAAATGGAAGGTGTTTCTGGTTGCAGGTTGAAGACAGTGATGTGAAATTGTCTGAAAAGGCACAGCAAGTATTGAAGGTAAAATTAAATATTTTTGTTAAATTAAAGAAGTTATACTTTGATGAGCCAGTATTTTAAAAACTGGAGCTGCTACCAGACTCTCTTTTTATTATGTGTGTTACTTCTCTTCTACAAGACTTGCCTGTTCTGCCCTGGCTTTTTCAAACTTTGACATACAAAATAATATATTGTGTGTAAAAGTTTGAGGGTTTCTTTATTTCAAAGAATCATAAAACCCAAGAGCAGAAAGAGTCCTAATAAAACTATGATTTCATGGAAGTCTCACTAAACATTACTCATGGAGCTCATGTGTCTCCAAAAGCCCCTAAAACTTGATGCAACTTTCTTTTAACTTAATTAGCATGCTAATGTCTAAAGGAAAACACTCTAAGCACTAGGAAAAAAAAGAGTTTGGAATCTGGAAACATCTTAAATCACATGAGTTTCACATTTGTGGTGCAATTTGTGGTTCCCAGGCATGTTCATTATAAATAGATTTATTTTCATGTAATATACTTTTAGCTCAGTAGATGGACAAACTAAAAACAAAAAGCTCAGCCTTGTGGTTGTGACAATAACTTGTAACTTCATAGCTGCTGGCAAAGCCAAAATGGGGAGGAGGGCTTTTAAAAATTATCCTCTTGCCTTGCTCTCTTTCCCTGCTCCTTCTGTATCCATGCAGGATAAAACTCTTTCAAAGTTCTTGACTGATGCTGTTTGAAAATAAAATATTTTCTCTTGGAGCAAAATCAGGAGAAAATGTTCCTGCTTGGATTGGTCCTTGATCCAGTCTGTGATGTTGCTGTTTGTTTTTTTTTTTTTAGGAGGACAAATCTTTCCTGGGCACTTTACTCACTGGGGGTGATGGAGTTTATATCTGTTCCAGCAACCCACAGGCCATGCCTGCAGAAGGTGAGATGTAGTTGAGTTTTTTTGCTTGTTTTTTGTTGTTTTGGTGGGTTTTTATTTTGTTTTAAACAGGAGAGAGGTTCTGAGATTCACACTCTAGTGAGCCAAACTGTGCCATCATCTTAAACTTTCCATTTCAACTTAAACACAGCTTTCTTGTGTATAATTCCATGTGTGATTTTTGTCCCCAACCTCTGCCTGAGTGTCCTGGAAGGAGAATTCCTGCAGAGCTTTGCAGACCTGGCAGGTGGGAGGAGGCTTTTCCCCACAGCTCACCTTCCCAACTGGCTCCTCCTGTCCTTGACAGATGAGCTGCCAGATGTTTTCTGCCTTTTCTGTGTCTTACAAACATGAGGTTGGAAGAATTGGCCATTGCAGAAGTGCTGTGAGCTCCCAGCTCAGGAGGAGAAGGCAAATATTCCTCTCAAAGCCTCCTCCTGGAGCTGACGTGTTCCAGGTTTCTGCCACTGTTATTTTCTCTCAGGAATTCAGAGTTTATCAGCTCAGCTGCTCACTGTGGCACAGAAAAATGCCTGATTTTGGTCCTTCTCAGATCCAATCCAGTTACAGCTTTTTGATACAAGAATATTGTATCAAAAAGTCTTGGATTATTCCTCTTTTTTTGGTGCCTTTTCCTTCAAGAACTTAAACAACATGAATATCCCAGGAATAAGACTGAAAACAATTTGATAGGACTGTTAGATTTCCCTCCCTCCTTGTGCCTTGAATTAATAGATTCTTTCTAAGACACAATACTTTTCTGTTTTATGTATTTCTGTATTTTATCCAGAGAAGGTGCTGCTGTCACAGTTCTGATGTGCAGCAGGAGGTGCTCAATATCTGACATTAAGTGCTTGGTGCTGACAGTTTTTAGAGGAGAACCTTCAGCTTTATTGTCTTTGCCCTGGAGTGTGGAGGATAAATAATGATGTGCAAGGCAATTAAACAGCAACCCTCACATAAGGGCAGCTGCTTTTGCTCTAATTGATCAGATTTCAAAGAGAAGAGGTTAATGCAGAGTGTGATGTTCAGCTCTTTTGCAATGCAGTGCTGTGGGCACTTGTTCACTCAGTAAATAACTAGAGAACACTGGATTTTTTTTTTTTGCTTTGTTAAAACTGGCTCTGTGTGCCCCCAAAGGAGCAATTAACTTTTTTCTTTTTTTTTTTAATTAAAAATAATTTTTTTTTTTTTGAGATTTGTGAAGATCAGTGTTTTACCAACTCTTGAGCTGGAGAGTTAGAGTTAGGTGCTATAAAGAACATTATGAAACACTGCAAAGAACATGAAATTTTTTTAGGTGTTATGTGGCAGTGAAGCTGATTTTGTTCTCCAATTTGTTGTGCTCAAATCTGGGCTCTGCTGCGGTTGCAGCCCTGTAGTCTGGCACTATGAGGTGCAAAAGGTGCATAAAATTCATGGAATAGTTTGAGCTGGAAAGGACCTCCAGGAACATTTAGATCCAACCTCTTGCCATGGGCAGGGACACTTTCCACTAGCCCAGGTTGCTCCAAAAATTTTAATTATTAGGTTAAATTTTAATTTAAAAAGTAACTGTTAATTTTTTTTTAAAGTTTAATTAAAACTTAGTGTTTAAATTTTCTATTTAAACATTTTTACACTTCAGTTTGTTACAATATTCAATTTTCAATTGTTTTGGATGCAGTCTTTACTTAAGTTCTTGTATTGTCAATTTTCTAGTTCTGGAAGTTTGAAATTTGGCAGGATGGATTTTTTTTGCTTTTAACTTAAAAAAAGTGCCTCAGAATATTTATGATAAGTGGTTCTGTGGGGTCAGATGAACTCAGATCATAGTCATGATTCCTGCCCTTGGTAATGAGATCCAGTAAAGACTGAATGGTTGTAAATATTATCTCAAATAAAATAAATATTTTTATTTCATAAAAACAAAATAAATATTGCTAAATTTTATCCAAAATCAAATCTACTGCTTGTTAAATGCAACAAAATCCTGCAGGAACATAGATTTCTTCCTCAGGAAGACAAGACAGTCATCATGAGAAGCTGAAATGTTGATTTACACCTCATACAATTCTTTTTCCTTCAAATTCTAGGCAAACTGTATTTCTTTTCTGATGGAATTCTGTTCTGTGATCCCCACCACGGCAGCATTTCCATTTCCAAGAACCACATGAGTTCCATTTCTCTCTATGATGGGGTGAGTATTTTGTCTCTTTTTCCTGTCATAAAGTTTCCATCAATTTTTAGCAATAATTCTGTTGGGTCCTGGTACAAAGTTTAGATTTAATAGTCTGTACAGCTGTAATAACTGATGCAGATCACTGCAGTTTTGGTGCTGATTAACTGAATTTAGTGAATAAGGAGGAGAGAATTTTGTATTGGAGTTAGCAATGTGCTGTTAACAGTGTGAAAACTGCTTTTTGTTAAAAGAAAAATTACAGAACACGACATTCATCAAACATCTCACAGTGTGAAGGGATGGACAGAGAAGAGTTCATAGGGTGTTTTGGAAGGTAAAATGTTGCCTTTTATTAAAAATATGTTTGAATCTCTCACTTGGCCATCAGGGCAGTGTTCAGGCTCAGTGGCAATTGAGAGGTTAATTAGGGCAGCTCAGCTCTGTCCACCTCGAGGCAGAAACACTGGGTTAACCATCACTTCTTCAGGGTGGAAAAGAGATTATTTGTGTTGGTTACTGTTTCCTAAACACTGAGGAAAAAAAAAATCAGTTTCCTTTAGTTTCCCTTTTGTTCAGGTACAGTATTCCCCATTTATTCAGCGGCCTCCTGCAGCATTGTGCTGGGTGATTTCATCCCACAATACAGGAAACCAGTAAAATACAATAAAAATGTGATTCAATTGAGATGAAAACACAGCAGCTCAGAGAGTCTTACCTTAGCTGCCTTTTCTTGGACATCATATTGATTGCCCCTCGTTTAAGAAGCTATTTTAACACTGACCTTCCTGTGATTGTTTGAGTCAAGACACTCACTTTCATAAAAGTTGCTATTTCTGGGACCTGGCCATCATTCTTGAAATGATGCCAGGTTTTTGTGTGAAGCTGAGCCTTGACAGGGAGTGTATTATTGTTCTACTGACTTGGCAGAATATGAGGGTGGAGGGTTTTGAAACTTAAGAAGTGACAGGAGAAGCAGGGGAATCGTTGGTTGCTCTTTCCAAAAGTTCGTGCAGCAATATTGATGGAAAAGAAAAAGGAGAATTTAATTCTCTGATTAAAATAAAAGATACAATTAACACAAAAAAAAGATGTATTAAAATGAAAGACACATTACTTTGAAGTGATGCAAAATGCAGGTTTTTTAGCAGCTTTAGCATGATGCCTGTGAGATATTCTTCTTTTTAACTTGGAAATATCTGTAATTCTTCTCCTGCACGTGTTGCAGACTCTTGTGCTGTGAGGAACTGGGCACTGAGCTGCCCCTGAGCTCCTGAAATCCCTGGGACTCATGCATGGAGGGCAGGGGAGATTCTGGCCATTCATCAGGGGAACAAATATTACCCAGCAATATTTAGGTTTCACAACGACATTAACATCTTGTAAAACTTGGAGCTGGCTCCTTTCAACCTCGTGTCCGTGGGGATTATTGCTGCTGCTGCTGCTTTTCAGCTTTTTTCAATTTGTGGAGCCCAAAATGTTTTCCAGGAGCAGATTTTGTTGGACATTTCTCGTGCTGACAGCAGCGTGGATGAGTTGGCCTTGGAGTCACTTCTCAGGAAATCTCCAAACCATCCTGCAGAATCCAGGATCTGTGGATTCTGTTCCAAAAATCATTTTCTGTTAAAAGAAATTGTTCTCTTTGAGGAGAATATTTTTGTATGTTCTTCAGTGACCTCATTGACTTTGAGAGGATTATTTTTATGATTAATCCTTCAGTCAGCAAAGCAGAGAAATTCTGTTTGCAAATGTCTCTGAGTTGATACCAATTCTTATGTTACAGTTCCCCAACTTGAGCTTTTTCTTCTCAACAATGAGTACAGTGAGTTCTTTGCCCCTTTCTATTGAAAGTGAAGGGGATGCCACTAAAATTCTGATTTGAGCCCTACATAATTGAATTCCCATTTCCCAGAAATGCTTCATGCTTCTAAATTGTTCTGATTTTCTAAAACTTTGATGTGAAAAGGATTGAATATAAAACACTTCAGCATCGTGCAGATTTGTATATAAAATCCTGTCCTGGATTCCACAGTCATGGAATGGTTTGGGTTGGAAAGGACCCTAAAAACCATCTTGTTCCACCCCCTGCCTTGGAGCTCCTTCCACTTTCCTGGGTTGCTCCAAGCCCCATCCAGCCTGGCCTTGAGCACTTCCAGGGATGGGACATCTCCCACCACTCTGGGAAAAAAAAATCCAACAAAACAAAACAAACTAAAAAATAACCCAAGAAAAACAAGTCAGTGTTTTCTCAGAACAAAAATGAAACTTGAGTTCTGTGCTTCTGAGGGAAACACAACCTGAGGGCTTCAGCCTCCCTTGTCACCTTTTTAGGTGGCATTGAATTAATTTTTCATCTGCTGTCTGTGTTGGACATGTGGGTGTAGACAAAAAGTTTGTTGTTTGAAGCAGTAGCAGAGGAAAGGTCTAGATTTTGGTGTGGACATGAGAAGATATTAAAATTTAAGCTTTGTTTTCAGGACAAAAGTTTAGTGCTTCACTCAGACTCAGATCCTTTGAGCTTGTGATATTTCCAGTAGCTGCAGAGTGGAAACTCAGGGGTGCTGCACCCCTGCTGCTCCATCCCTGTGCCATGCAAAGTAAAAAATATTAATTTTAACTTGTCCTGTTTCTTTCTTTTCCAGGATTCCAACAGCATTGTTGCTGCTCTCTTTATAGACTTCAGAAGTTCCCTGCTCCCTCATCTCCCCATTGAATTCCACACGCAGAACAACTTTCTGATGATTGCACTTTTCCCCAAAAGAAAGATTTATAAAGCTTTTTATTCACAGGTAAAGTAAAAAAAGTTTGGTTGGGGTGGGGGAGAAACCACATAATTGCTCTGTGTGTTTAAGATGTGTGAGAAACTCAAATTTCTGTATGAATTTCCAGTGATGGTGCTGCTCGTTGTGTTTAATGCTCCCATGTGCTTTCACTTTGCCTTCTGAAGGCAGCCAGGGCTCTAAAATCTCCTTTTCTGAGCTGCATTTCTGGTGTCTAATTTGCTGCAGGGATTGTATGGAGTGGCAGAGGTTCCATTGTGTGTTTTTGTGGTCAGACACATTTGGATCGTGATCCTTGGGGAAGTGGAGTTGAAGTTTTTCAGTCTCCCATATGGCATTGTATTATTCCCTAAGTAGATTGGCTTCGTGCATTGTGCTGCAGAGGCTTTTAATAAACCCAACTTTATAACAATAGTGCTTTTGAGGAAATGAGCCTGGAGATTTTAGGGCTTCACAAGGGTTTTAGGATGTGCTCATCACACTGGGTTGGAAAAGACCACCTAGCTCAGTGAGTAGTCCCCACTGGTCCTATTAATGGTCCCATAAAATGTCTCCTCCTTTTATCTTAAGTGTTTAAATTCCTCCCACTGTTCCACTCTGTGAATGGTTGGCAATCTGTTGTTTGTTTGTATTTGAATTTTCAGCCTGTTTTATTAATGCTGCTTCTATATCTGTTTTATTTTTCTTTACCAGAACACATCCTCGAGATACTCACAAATCTCAGACCTATTCTTTCTGCTTTATTTGGCCTAATAAAACAAAACCAGATTCTTTTCAATCTATGCCTATAAAATGTTCTTTTTTCTTCTGATAGTTGTAATGCTTTTCTTTTGATCTGGTTTTTGGCTGTAGATATCCAAACTGTTTGTAGTATATGAGATCAGGGTATTTGTTTCTTCTGTTGATTTTTCTCAGGGCTATTTATTCCTGTTCTCCTTTGAGTTAATTTTTTGGTGAACAGTTCCACACTGATGTTCATTTTGGGCAGTTTAAGTTTCTCATTTGGCACCACACCAGTTGCTTTGCTCAAGCAGATGAAACAAATCTTTTGTCTTCAGAATGTTCTCTCATGAACAAAACTCTTCATCAAATTGACTCCACCTGATTGTGTAAACCATGGAAATATATTGTTGTGTTTTGTCAGTATTTACCTTCAGGTGTTTATTGATTTCCTCCAAAATTCTTTCTAAAAGTCTGTGTGCCCACAGATTACAAAGATTCACTGAAATTTAGGTGCTGCTTCTACTCTTCTCAATTATCTGGTTTGATACCTCACTCACTGGAGCTGTACTTTGATTATTCCAAGCCTCCTGGAATTAGGGAATTGCAAGTGCCCTGTTACCCAAATCTGGGTTTGTTAAAAACTGAGATGTTGAGCTCAAGAGGTGAGATCTGCTGTGCAGAATGAGGTGATGCCTTTGCCATCCTCACTCTAAATGGTACAGGAGGAAAATTTGTTTAGGTTTTGGGATGTGTTGATTTCTCTCATTTTTTTCTTTCATGCCATAGCAGCTCTTTCTTAAGCTTTCCTTGAATTATACAAAAGAGCCTGATATATTTCTTCTGGACCTGATATATTTCTATATTTCTAACACTTGTTAGCCTGACCTATATTTTCACTTTATCCCCAACCCTTTGACTCTTACAGAACACAAATTTCCCTTGACCATTCCTTTTTTCCATCTCTCCCAGGCATTTCTTTGAGTCCCTTCTGTGTGTTTTGAAGTGGTTGTTTCTTGAGTTGTGTGGATCCTTCTGCATGAGCAATATTGCCTTTGTTAATATCAAAAGTATATTTTATTTTGATGGTTTTTATCTCCTACCCTTGTGTTTGGGAAGCTGAGTTTTTAATGGAAAGCAGTCGTGTCCCCCCCCAGTTGTTTTGTCTTGCAGACAGTTATTGTGAAAAATGACAATGGCTGTTGCCTTAACTTATGAAAAGAAGGGAAATTCCAAACACTGACAGGACTTTGTGATTCATCTGAATCTGATTTCTAGGTTCCCAATGCCATTCAGATTAATGTGTCTTGGCTGGAGCAATTGGATGGGAGCCAAAACATTCCCTGGAGAAACGAAGGGTTTCCTTTTCTTTTGGGAGGGAGCAGAGTTTTTCTTCAATTTCGAGTAATGATTGCTGCAATCTCACCTCATGAAAATTACAGCAGTGCTTCAAAGAGACTTGAATTAATTCAGTTCCTGCTGTAGAGCACTTGGGCTATAAACATCAACATTTCTATCAGGGAAAACGAGGCCGTTTCAGTAAATTCCTAAAGCACTTCCAGGCTAGCCAGAGAAAAGGTTGCAAAATCTGATCAGTGCATTTGAATCCTAAAATTGAAAGGGAGACCTCAAGGCACATCTCATTCCAACCCTCCACATCTCATTCCAACCCTCTGCCATGGGCAGGGAACCTTCTACTCTCCCAGGTTTTTCCAAGCCCCATCCAACACTTGGACACTTCCAGGGATGGGGCAGCCACAGCTTCTCTTGCAGGAAAACCTTTATTGTGCAATATTTAATGGCTTGTGAAAATGTGTCTGTTTTTTTTAGGTGAGCAAAACCAATTCCTAAACAAATTCACAGCAAATTTGGGAAAATAATGACACTCATGCATAGATCTGGTTTGTTCCAGGTTTTCTCTGCATGGCAAAACCAGACAAACTCAGGATTATCTTTAAGGGTTGTCCCAGAAGAATTCCTGTCTGAGGAACAAAAGAGGCTGTAAGTTCCTGCCACTGCAGTGCAGTTACACAGAAGCTGCAATCAGAAAAATGCTGTTATTTATTGGTTTTGATAATAATTATTTTTAAAAATGGTGCATTCTTAGTGCAACACTCAATTTTTTTTGGTACTGTTTAATATATACCCATGTGGTTTAAAGAAGAGAAATTTTTAGGTTTCTCCTTTAACTAATTAATTAATTTCCTTCTTTTAGGCATTCCAGTGTCCAGAAGCTTTTCAATGCCTTGTCTTTTGCTTCTGGGGAAAGATGCAGGGAGCTGAAACTGTCTGCTGCCATTCCAGGATTGGAGAGGTGAGAAATTACTTTTGTGTTCAAGGGATTAATTCTGTCAGAAATGAGACAAAAATGTGATAGCCATCTAAAAATGTTTCTTAAATAATTCTCTCTTTACACTAGGATGTTTTTATTCTGAGATGAATTATTTCCTTTCTAGCTTGACCTTTTCATACTCTTGTTTTAGTAATTTCCCAGTTATTTATATGGATGAAATTTTTGCTGTCAATTGTAAAGAAGTAAACCTTTTATTTTTGGAAGGTTTGTGCAGCACTTCACAGTCAGCAGTGTCAGCACCAAACCAGTGATGAGGGCACATCTTCCTGTCCTTCTCCAACAGTCAGAAACCATTTCTGACAGCAAAGCAGAAGGTGGTAAGGTAAGGAAACAATTCCACAATAATTCCTAGCCCTCATGTAGAATATTTGGAATATTCTGTCAGTAGTTCTGTTGTAGTGTGATAAAACACTAATCATGTTCAGCCATGCTCTGCCTCCTCCTCCACTACCACCAGTTTTTTGTCTTGTTTTCCTGATTATATACTTCATTCTTTTCCATTTAAACAATCTTTTGGAAGTGCAAATGGCCTTTCAGCCTGATGAAGTAGAGGCAGAAAATGAGGTGTAGATCTTTAAGTTGAGTGTTTTCTCTAATGCCCTGAGAGACTTTGCCCTAAAGCAGCAGCTTGTTTTTATGAATTGCTGAATAATTTAACTGAATTGTTCTCTGGAACATAAAAGTCCTTTAAATAGCATAGAGTTAGCACATGATATTTAACATTTGCTGATATTATCTGTACAACACTCCTTTCTCTATAGGGGCAATAACAATTGTCCAGTTGAAGGTGGGCTTTAAATAGCATTTTCAGAGAAAATATTTCCTTGGAGCTTCCCAGCTTTTGAAATCTGCTGAGAACAAAGCCAAAGCAGTAGGAATATAATTTTTCCTTGCAGTATTGCTGGGGTCTGGTTCAGAGACCATTCTGACCATTAATAAACCCTTAGGAACGTTTTAAAATCTGATTTTAAGGTTGGTTTATCTGTGGATTCTTAAAAAAGAAAGAAAAATCTATATGAATCATAGAAAACATCCTTTTTGGTGTCTGCACCAGTATTTCTGTGGTTATTTTGTGTTTAGACTTCCTGTGCCCTGTTCCTGTGTTGCAGGTGATCATCACCATCCTCACTGGGCTCCCAGGGTGCCGTTCCAGCGACCTCTGCTCTTTCCTTGTCACTTTTACCAAGGAGCATGGCAGGTTGGTGCAGCTCTGCTTACACAGATCACCAAAAAAAGAGATTGGCATGAAGGCAAAAAAAATATTACCACTGTTTCATTTGGTGTTTTCTTAAACCTAATTTCAGACTGACAGGTAGATTTGCCCTTAAATTTATACATTTGGACAGAAAAACAGCACAGGAGATTTCTTTGTTGCCTATTCCATGTGGTGAAGAGCTTCCATTTATTGATTTGTAGTGATTCTAAAATGCTTTTTTTTGGGTTTTTTTTGAGAAAAGACTCTACTAGCAGTCCTTGCCACAGCATTGTTTTTAATTTAGTCTGATTTGAGGTACATTCAGGACATCTGATGTATGGCAATGAGATAAATCTGCTATAGGAATTTGCCACTCTGTGTCTTGATAGAGCTTCTGAAAAATAAAATAAAAAAAAATCTTATCCTTTTACACTTTAGCATTTAATCTTTGCCATGTTCTGAACTGTTCTTTTACTTTTAACTCAATGTCTTGATTTTATCAAGTTGATTCAGAGCAGTTTTGTGGTTCTGTTATAGGGCGAACACGTAAGGTGACTTTTGAAGGTTGTGTAATAACACATCTCCTCATGTTTTCCTGCAAATGTCATTGTTACTTTCCTTTTTTGCAGTGAAATATTTTCGTGCCCAGAGTCTTGAATTAGATTTGTCGAATTATTGTTTACTGCATCACTGCCAGTGATCAGAATTACTCATATGATGTACAGCTTTGAAAAAAGCTGGTGAACATAGTTTTATTGAAAAGCAACAAAAAAACACCCACAAACCCTTTTGGCAGCCATGTAAAGAATGTGCTTGTGCTGGAAATGATAAAAAGCCAAATAAATTCCCCTTCCCTACGTGGCCACGTGGAATGAGATCATGATGAGAGATGTGAAAACTTTGGGCTTGTCAAACTTCATTTTGGTCTGTTGCTTGAAAATAGGTGTTCTGGTTTGAAAGCAAAACCAGTGAGAGACTCCAAGTCAGAGATATAATTTACTAGGAAAAGGGGAAAAAATCCCAAAATACATGCAATAATAAAAAAGAAAAAACACTGAAAGAGTCAGAATACAACCTGTGGGTCAGGGTGTTGGTAGCAGTTCGGCTGGAATTGTGGCTGCAGTCCTGGAGTGTCAGGTGTGGTTCTCTTGGAGCAGGGATCCTGTAGAAAGGTGGAGTTTTCCTCTGGGAATCCAGTGGAAGAGGCAGCTGCTCCTCTGGGAATGCAGTGGAAAGGCTGATCTGGTGTCCCAAAATCTCAGATTGTATCCAGGTAGGAATGCTTGGCTCCTCCCCTGGGCAGAGCATCTCCCAGTGGGATGATGGAATTTGATCAGCCATGCAGGGACACTCACTGGCCATGAACAGAAGAGAATTAATAATTAATGGCCCATTAACAGCAGATATCTCCTGGAGGGAGGATTGGTAGTGGAAGAAATAAAGAAAAGTGCCCAATGAACAGAAAATAACTGCCACACCTCTGACAGATGGGAATAGAACACACATTGCCTTGCAATCTAGGGCAATAGGAAGCAAACAGAAGTGTTCTGTGGAGAGGTTGGATAATTGGCTTGTAAGTAAAGTTGAGTTAATAGAAGAAATAACAATTGATGATTTTGAGTGTATTTATATAGCAAGGAAGAAAACAAAGTTGTTAGTATGGAAACAGATTAGAAAAGATACATGAACACTTTTGTAAGCTAAGCTACATGCATAAGTAGATCTGCAGATGTGCTTTATTAAATTTTTGTAAAACTTTTGCCAATTATATTGACTCTAATTACTTTGCACCAATGAATATAACAAGTTACGGTGACGTAGTTAATAACTTAACTTTGTTAAGTTTTTATTTTGTTGGTTTTACCACCCAAAACCCCACAACATAAAAAAACCCCACACAAAATAAAAACCCTTTTTCTTCTTAAGCCCTGATCACGTGTGTGTGTGTCATGTCCAAGCTGACAATGGCTTTGCTGGCTGTCTGTGCTCAGGTGGATTGTGTATCGGCAGACCATGGACAGCCCGCAGTGTTTCAGTGCCTCCCACTTCCAGCGCTTCCTGGCCGGGCTCCTGGAGGCCCAGCACAACCTTGGAGTCCATCAGCCCAACCACACTGGGAAGAGGAACAGGCTCCTGGTGGTGCTGCAAGGGTAAAGAATCCAAAATCTTGGAACTGTTGTGTAGAATAAGGGAATTCTGGTTTATGTTTGGGCCAAACTCAGCTTTTCTGTCGCTGTTGGTTTTGTTGTTCCTGTAAAAAAGGGGTTCTTAACCTTCCTTGCATGTGCTGGCTGCACTCACAGCCCTGAACCCCCCTGGGCTGGGCTGGTCCCTCAGTGTGGGCAGCAGGGGAGGGGGATTCTTCCCCCTGTGCCCTGCTCAGGTGAGATCTCACCTGCAGAGCTGCCTCAGCTCATAGGTCCCAACAGCAGAAGAATGTGGAGAGAGTCCAGAGGAGACCACAGAGCTGCTCTGAAGGCTGGAGCCCCTCTACTCTGGAGCCAGGCTGGGAGAGCTGGGAATGCTCACAAGGCTCCAGGGATAGCTCAGAGCCCCTTCCAGGGCCTGAAGGGGCTCCAGGAGAGCTGGAGAGGGACTGGGGACAAGGGACAGAGGGACAGGACACAGGGAATGGCTTCAGATTGAAAAAGGGGAGATTTGGTTGGGATACTGGGAAGGAATCCCTGGCTGTGAGGGTGGGCAGCCCTGGCACAGCGTGTCCAGAGCAGCTGTGGCTGCCCCTGCATCCCTGAAGTGTCCAAGGCCAGGTTGGAGCAGTTTGGGGTGGTGGAACCTCCCTGGTTGTTACAGGACGTTGAACTAAGATGACCTTTAAAGGTCCCTTCCAACCCAAACTGGTCTGTGATTCTGACTCCAGAATTGCCAGCAGAAATCAAACTGTCAGAAATCTCCTGTTGCCTGGTAGAGCAGGTGATAACAGAGGAGGACTTAGTGATGTGTTTGGATAAATGCCATTTTCCTTGTGGGATAAAGGTGAAGACTGAGCCACCTGTGTTTGACATTTCCATCCAATGTAGCATTTGTGAGCCAGGATCATCTTCTGAGTCATTAGAAGTCACAAGAAGAACTACCCTGACCTGGCTGCAGTGATTTCCACTTCATCCTTCTCACTGAGGATGTACAAATAGAGCTCAGCATTTTCTTCATTATGGTCCATTCTGATAGTGTTAAAAACCATAATTTTTTCCATGTTGGAGCCAGATTTATTTATTTTTTTGTTTAATTAGTAGGGATGGTGTTAAGTTCATTGATGGGCAAAATAACTGATACTCTGGTAGCAGCACTGGCTTCAGGAACAGATAATTGAAAGTTTTCCATTCTTTATGGGTAGTTGGGTGTTGGGGTAGACAGCTTTAGAGTAGCTGGAGTTCTCTAAATATCCCATTCAGCTGATAACTGACAGTAGAGGAAAGTTTGTAACTGCCTGAGAAATAAATACCTGACATTAAAACTCAGGTTCACCTAAGCCTCGATGTCATACAGAGATAAAATGCAACAGTGGTTCAAGTCCTGATAAAAAATGGATACATTAATGGTAGTAATATTTAAATTGGGATGCTGATAAGTGAGAGAGGCTGTTATTTTATTCTTTTTTAAACTCAAATTGTGCTTAATTTTCTTGGCATTAGGCATAAAATGTTTGTGTTATATTGTGCTTTTTGTGCTTTCTGCAGGCTGGACTTTTCCAGTTCAGTGCAAAGTTTACACTGTTTTTCTCTGGATTGTTAATAATTGATTTTTAATGTAACTTCCAGTTAGTTTATTTGCTGGATTTGCTTAATTTGTCTGGATTTGCTTAATTTGTCTGGATTTGCCAAGCTCTGAGCTGCTTTCCATCTCTTTTGGTAGCTCTTTTGGAAATCCAGTTTTCCTCCAAGCCATCAATTTCTTCCTGGGTAGGGACCTGTTCTGGTTCTCTGTATCCATTTTTTATTTTGGTTTCTTGCAGGTACACTGATGTTATTGATGTTGTGCAAGCTCTGCAGACTCACCCTGACCCAGATGTGAAATCTTCTTTCATCATTGGAGCAATCAACACTTGTGTGGAGCCTCTGAGCTGCTACATGGAACACAGGTGTGCTTTGAAATATTTTTACAAGTTTAAGAGCAAAGATGTCAATTTTTGGTATCACTTTCATAATAATTAGTGATTTCTGATGGTCAAAAGCCACTTAAATCCCATAAAATTGCTTAATAATCCAGCTTGGAGGAACTTGGAAGTGCTGTTTGGTATATCAGGATGGCACTTGGTTTATTTATTTATTCTATATATTTTATTTATTCTATATATTTAATAATATAGAATATCAATAGAAGTTCAGCTCCAATAGTAGTTCAGCTCCTAGAAGAATAAACAAAGATTGTTTAAGTACTAATCCTCTAGTTAAGGGCTTTATAACATTTGGGCAGTCAATTATCCTTGAATAATTCTCTTTTTTGCAATCTTGTAGTAAGTCAGACTGAAATTCGAGATGTGCATCTCAGTTTGGGTTATCCATTCTGCCACCACTTTTGGATGTTTGAAAAGACTTTACAGGTTTAAAATATGGAATTGAAGGGTTTAAAATATGGAATTGAAGGGAAACAATTCCTGAAATAGCAAGAGAATGACAAAGCACGGAAGCCAAAGCATTGCAAGTGTTAAAATCTGATATCCTGGGTTACTGCAGAGCCAGGGTGGGGAGGAAATGGTCACAGAGCCAAGTCACTGACCTTTGCAAATAGTTTGGGTTCATAGTAAATGTGTGTGCTCCAGGCTTCAAAAAACATGGAAATCATTTCTCAGACCTACCTGTAAAATTGTAACACTCCAATTTTTTAATTATGCCTTGCAGCTGATTTGATGAAAGTAAGTTCCAGCAGTTAGAGTTTTCGGAGTTGGTAGCACTGCTTCTGTTTGTGATCAAACTGTGCATCACAGCTTAGAGGAGAACTGCCCAAGCAGTTTCTAAAAGTGCATTCCTGACATTTCCTGGCTGTTCTTAAACACTAACCAACGTGCTGCTTGTGCTTTGCAGTAGTCAATAAATAGACCTTACCTTGCTGCTTCTTCTTGTCTCCGTGACAAAGATACCAAATAAATATTAAAGACTACATCAACAATTGGTGAATTGATGCTGGAGTGCTGTTTAAACTTGTTCTTTCCATAATTCTAGGAAAGACAAGTTCTATTTCTGTTTTATTTTTAACTTACTAACGTGTTCCTAGTCATGGTACTGTGTAGTGTTTAGCAGCAGCAGCCTGCAGTCCTCTCACACTGTTTGTCTCCTCAAGTGCAGAAGCAATTGAAGGCAGAGGCTCAGCCTATGCTGTAGATTATTTCTATTTTGCTTTGGAGTTTGTCCTGATAAAAATTTCCCAAGCAGCCACACAGTGCCAATGGCAAACCTTGCAGTTGGGAAGCTTTGGTGATTTCACTGTGTGAGAATGGAACAGAGTGGATTTCATGTCTGGCTTGAAACTTGCACTCAAGAAAATCAAACCCATTTCCTGCCTCAGAGTTCATCACTGTAGAGATCCAGCTCTTCCATGAGCATGGCATGAAGCTTTTCCCCATTCTGAATCAGCAGACCAGGGCAGGGGAGAGGGAATTGAAGGGAACAGGTAAAATACTCTTCTTGAGGTTTTGTGTCCATGATAAAGCTCTTGAAAAGAATTGTCACTTGTCTGACACAGCAGAAGAAATTGGCATTCTGTACATCCAGGCTTTCTATGGAAAGTTCCCACTCTTTGAAAGGCACAATTCTTTAGGGCAAACTTTAAATTCCTATTGTTTAAATATGAATTAAAATAACATTGAAGCATTTCTGACTCCTTAGAGTACAGAAGAAATTGCATGGTGGGAGAAAAAAAAATCTGTTGGAGAATTAAAACCATCTACAAAATTGATTTTTGGGGAAAAAGTCCTGAAAGACATAATCTGTGAGGATGTTGCAGTTAGATGGATTGAGGAAAAGAAGCATGAAAATGGTTTGGTTTGTGAGACTCTGTCAGTGTCCAATGAACGTAAATGTTTTACTTAAATAATAAATCCATTCTTGATATGTGAACTTTCTGGTTTTTTAGGCTTCTTTTTCCCAAGTTCTTGGACCAGTGTTCACAAGGTATGTGTCACTTTTCCTGACTTAGAGCTCTACAGAATTGGTCATTGTTGAAGGAGAAACTGCAAAATGCCCAGGACAAGAGTGGCTGATTTTCTTGCAGTCAAAATGCTGTAAGAATTACAAATAACTGAGCCATGTGGCCAAATAAATACCTGTATTTATTATTTTGTGCTAGTAATACACATAGCCAAAGGATCATTATAAACTCTTGGAGGTAAGAACAGACAATCTCTGTCAAACATCATAGGCAGAAAACGAAAAAATTCTGGAGCATGATCCATTTTGAAGTTCTCATCTGCAGGATGGGCTTCCTAAGACCATTAATTAGACATTAATTAAACTGCTCTACACTGAGCTGTTGTAACTGGGAGTGAAATGGATTGGACTGGAGTTCCACCCTCCTTTAGGGATGTGTGAGGAAATGGAGCTTTCCTTTCATTTCTGCTCTATTAAAAAGGGAAAAATGAGGGGTGACCTTGTTCCCCAAATCCTCCTCTTGGTGTGGCCTGGAGGGTCCTTGCAGGGCTCATCTCCCCCTGCAGCAAAGCAGCTCAGCTGCAGGGCTGGTCCTCTCCTGTGTGTTCAGTTTTATTCCTGAAATCAGTCACTGGCTGCACTGTCCTCCTTGGCAGCTTGGGAATTAGAGCAGGAGTTGGCATCAATGGGATGTGATCCTTCCTCACCTGCCCTCAAATCCCTGCCCCAGGTGTTCAAGGCCAGGTTGGGTTTATTTTGTCTTCATATTTAAATGCAGCTGTTGGAAAATCAGAGTAGGATGCTGTGCTCTTCTTGTGGCTGCTTAAACTCTGATTGCTCTGCTTGGCTGCCAGAGTGCTGCCACCTCTTTTTCATGTGTGAAGAGAACCTTAAAGAATGAAGTTGTGAACAAGCTGGGCAGAAAGTGGGTGCTGTTATATAAATCAATATTTAATTTGGAGAAAAATGTTGGTGCTCCAGATTGGAAAATTATCATGTGTACTGGTAAAATTGAAGAGAGCAGGAGAATGTTAAGAATATGAAGAATTATTAATAACTACAGAGAAGTTAAAGGTGCAAATTGTTTTATGAAAGAATAAATAAAACAAATACTCAAAGCTTTGTTTTCCTTAAAGTGAATTTGTACAGACTGGATTGGGTGAGAATTGGTCATTGTTGAAGGAGAAACTGCAAAATGCCCAGGACAAGAGTAGCTGATTTTCTTGCAGTCAAAATGCTGCAAGAATTACAAATACTGGAGGTTAGAGGAATGTTCTTGTGGCAGGGAATAATTTCTGCACATTGCAAAGTGTTGTCATCCAGTTCTGTGATATAGAATGTGACATCAGATGGCCCAGGGGTCACTTGGTAGAAAGAAATTGTTTCACAAAAATAGGGGTAATTTTAGTGTAAAAGGCTGAGGAGGAAAAGTATGCTTTGAAGTGAGATGTGGCACACTTAAACTTTCCAGACAGATGCAGAATTGTGTCATGTGTGCAGTAGAGAATTTACATCTGCATAATTCATAGAATCACAGACTGCTTTGGGTTGAAGGGACCTTAAAGAGCCTTTAGTGCCATGGCAGGGACACCTCCCACTGTCCCAGGGTGCCCCAAGCCCTGTCCAGCCTGGCCTTGGACACTTCAGGGATCCAGGGGCAGCCACAGCTGCTCTGAACAATTGAGAGAGAATTCATTATGGTTTCACACACCTGAGAATTCATTTTTGGTGCAACAACAGCTAGATTTAATGAGAGATCCACAGAGAGATATTAATTCATATTTTTGGAATGTTGTGCACCCCAGTATTGTTTGTTTTGCTGTGTCACCAATGGGCCAGGACTGTGTTTTGTTGGTTTTTGCATTTTTTTTGGTTGAAGTTGGGATTGAAGGTACTTGAGATGATACTTTGTGTTTAGATTTAAATGTTTATTTTTTAAAATTTCTATTACAGTTTTATAGGTAGTGGGTTTTGTATTTAGTGTCTTACTAATAAGGTACAAAATTTTTGTTACAAGGTTTTTTAAGGTTAAACTGTCTAATTAAGAAATGATACTTAAATTGTTTTTACTTTCAAGTTAATAATGAACTTGAATAACTTGAAGTCCACAATGCAGACTTTTCTGTCCAATTACAAAATACTACTCAAACTTAGGAAGAAGAAGGTGAAGAAGAAGGACTGGCTTTTGTTCTAAAACTTTTATTTAGTTTTATATATATTACTATATTTTAAAATTCTAAACTCTAAGTTTTTTACTTTGTGATATTATATGCTTTTAACCAAACAATACACTTAATTTTAGTGTTATTAATTAATTTTGGAAGCTTTCTTTATGTCTGCAAGTCAAATTAGTGTTTTCTTGGGAGTTAAGGTCTGTTAGTACAGAAAGTCTGAAATTCTCAGTATGCAGAACTCTGGCAGTGTTGTACTGGGCTTTGTACAGATCTGAAACCAGAACTTTGTGGGTGTGAGAAAAGCCAAGTGCAGCCGTAGGCAAGTAGGAATTAATTAGACTTTGGAGCTGTGCTTTCTCCTTCTACCTTCCAAATGTGGGGAGTGAGTTGGGTTTGCCTGCTGCTGCCTTTCTCTGTATCACAGGGGTTCCTGGGCATGTTATCAATGTGACATTTCCCAAAATTTCTGTTTGGGGAGCACCAAGACTGACAGAGGCAGATGGGGATTGGGGAGAACTGACAAAGCTAGAGCAGAATGACCAACAGGAATATCCTGTGCATACTTCCTTAAATTTCACCAAAAATTCCTGCCACCATCTGTGTGCTGTAATTCCCTTTTGTCTCTCTTTTCTTTGTTTTTTTGTCTTTCTTTCCTTTCTTTCTTGCACAGAAGCTGTAAGATGATACCTTCCTAGTCCAAGGGCACCCTGGCATCCCTTGTGAAACAATTTCATATAGAACACAAATTAAGACATCACCATTGTTAAATATTCCCATTGTAAGTTAGGGAGCAAAGAGGAGCCATTATTTTCATGCAGCATATGTATTTTTAATCCATCCCTCCTGTTCCTTTCCTGCTTCCATTGAACATGCTATTCCCCAGGCTGCAAGGGTTCTTTTCTTTAGAGGAGTGTATAAATAAAGATTTAAACAAAACTGGGTGGTCTTCAAAATGCATCTCATAGAAACAGAGATGGCAGTTTAAATAGAAAAGGTTAAATTTGTTCATTACTGGATATTTTTTTTTTAACTTAGAGCTTTCCAGCTTATCCTTGACAGTTATGGATCCTCTCCAAGGCATGGTGCTGCCAATTGTCACAGGGACTCAGTGGCAGCTCTGTGGCACAGCCACAGGGTGGTGGTGGGTGATTCAGGAATCCCAGAATGGTTTGGGTTGGAAGGGACCTCAAAGCTCATCTCGTTCCAACCCCCTTCCACCATCCCAGGCTGCTCCAAGCCCCATCCAACCTGGCCTGGAATATTCCAGGGGTGGAATGATTATCTTAATCATTGTACAATTATCTTATTCATCTTTTTATCTAATTTCAAGATTAATATCCCCAAACTTGATACCATTTCAAGCCAGCACATGGCTTAAATTTCAAAGAGTGCTTGCTGTTCTCCTTTCCTTTTCCCCCTCCTCCAAGAGCAAGTGTACATTGGGGAAGACAGGGATGTTCCTGAAATTGGAGTGGAAACTTCTGTGCAAGGTTAAAAGAGAAACACAGTGATGCAGATTTGTGCTGTTAATGAAGTTCTGGCTTGGAAGGGTCAGTGATGCAAAGAGCAGTGACTGGGAGTCTGTGGTGCAGTGGAAGTGCCCCAGAAATATTGGGTGCAGGAATTTGTGTGTAAAGCAGCATGGTTTAATGTGATTTAAGACCTTGTGTAAAGACCAGGAATTACTGCAGGTAGCAGATCAGGTGTGATCATTTGTTACATCTTTGCTTTAATTAGTTGGAGGCAGAGGAAATGCATCCTGGCTCAGTTGTTTGTGGATATTGGAGATTTTCTGTTCTTCCTTCCACTCCACTTGTAGTCACAGGAAAGTGTCAAAGCAAGACTGCACATCATGAGCAAAGAAATAACATTTATTGTAAAATTACAGAACTGTTGAGGTTGGAAAAGACCTATAAGATCATCAAATCCAATTAGCAGCCCAGCACCACTGCCCAGTTTCCCATTACCCCTGTCAAGAGCCACATCCACGTGTTCTTTGAACACTTCCAGGGATGAGGACTCCACCACTGCCCTGGGCAGCTCTGCCAGAGCTGGACACCCCTTTCCATGAACAAATATTTACTAACATCTCATCTAAACCTCACCTGGCACAACTTGAGGCCGTTTCCTTTCCATTTCCTCTCTTTCCCTCACATTCAGGACAATACAGCCATCCTGAGGAGGCACCAAATGTTGACACTGCAGTTTCTTTGAGGAACTGGGCTGCAAGAAAAATCATGTATAATTGGAAAGCAGGGATCCTGTAACTGAAATTAACTGGATGGTTTTCTGCTATCTTTTTGATGCCTCATGGGTTCTGTCTTGCTGTCTGAATAACCTTTTGGAGTCTTTAAAGACAAAAAATAACCCTAAACCCTCCTCTTGTTTTTGGAAGTGGCAACTGAGTGTCCAAAATACTGATTTTTAGCTGTTCAGTGTAGCTGTCTTACTACACATTGAATTCACCAAGAGATTTTACACCTTAGTGTTCTCTTTTGCTTAAACTACTCCTGCTCAGATTGATTCTTGTATGGATTTGTTATTTTAATTAATAGATTCTATGGATTGAGTCTGAATTGATTCTGTTAGATGGAAGATTCTCTGCTTGGTTTTTTTTTGCTGTAGTGGATTTTCTTTTTGTCTTTAATGAAAGAATGCAGTGAGAGGGAAGGAAAATAAGAGAAGAATGGTTGGAATATCACTGAATGGTTTATTAGTCACTGTTTACATGCCTGAGCTGTAAATGATCCCCTGATTTCCTTCCCCAGGACTGGTGAGTAACGTGGTTTTCACAAGTCATGCCACAGAGCAGAGGCACCCACTCCTGGTGCAGCTGCAGAGCCTGATCCGAGCAGCAAATCCTGGAGTTTCCTTCATCCTGGCAGAAAATGGGATTGTAACAAGGTAACTTTCATCAGGATTTATTGCTTTTGGCACATGGGCCACGAGCGCTCAGAAACTTCTGTTCTCCTTTTTTTTACTCTGCTGATTTATAGGAAGGAAATGCAGATTTTTCTTAATTGCTTCTCGTGCAAAAGGGATTTTCCCTTTACGTTTATGAGCACATAAATACAGGGATTAGGAAATGTGTTTTGTTTGCAGAGTGTGATTTATGTTGCTGTTACTGCCATACTAAAGGAAAAGTGCTCTTAATTTTACTGTCACTAGCACATTATGTTTTATGTAAGTAGATAGTGGCCATTTTATTTAACTTAGAAAATTAAAAATCTTCATTTTTATCTCTTTACAGGAACGAGGATATTGAACTAATTCTCTCAGAAAGCAGTTTTTCAAGTCCTCAGATGATGAGAGCTCGATATTTAATGTACCCTGGCTGGCAAGTATCTAGACTGAGAAGTATTAAAACTATTTTTCTAATTAACTTGAAGATTAAAATGTTTCACTAACTTCATTTATATTTTTTTTCCCTAAGACTACTCATTTGGAACAGGCAGCAGCTTTGTAAATCATTTTTAAGAGAGCTGATGATTATTCTTAGTGGATACAAGATTGCTGCCCTTTTATGGGGGAAAAAGCTCCTTTCTGGCCACCATTTAAATCAATGGCAAGATTACTGTTGCTTTCCAGAAGAATAGGCAAGAACCCTGTGGGAATAAACTGGGAAGGATTGGGATGGGTGAGGTCAATAATGACTGGAGTAATTTCATCCTGACAGCTATTCAGCATTACTGGAATGAACTTGCTCTGTCAGTCTGGCCATTAGCAGAGTAATTATTCACAAAAGCCAGGAACCTCAGTGACAGCCCTGGCACAGCTCAGGCACAAACCCACGTGGCACCAAACTTTCCACTGAGCACCGAGGGAGATTTCTCCTGGCTCAGGGCTCTTCACACATCTTGTTGCAATTTTTTCTGCTGCACCTTTTTGGCAGAAATCTGTCAGCATAATTGCTGGCTGACCAGGCTCCGTGCTGGAAACATCATTTATTTATCATACCTTGCAGTCCTCTGTATCTCTTGCTTAATAAATTTGGTTCTGAATTGAATGCAAGTAGCCAAATAAAGCTACTGGAGTGAAGCACAAGACTTGGGGTGAGGATATTGAATTAATATCATCAGAGCCAAAGAGAGAGAGCAGGAAAAGAAAAGATTTCAAACTTTTGGGCAGCTGTTAATCTATTTGATGACAGTATGCAACAATTGGATCTGGGTAGAGTGGAAGAGAAGGAAAGTAGCAGGAAGAGCATCAAGAGCACCCAGGGAGAACTTATTGCAGCATTGCAGTACCTAAAGAGGGCTTTTAAAAAAGGAGTAGAGTGAGTTTTTATGTGGGTAGATGGTGACAGGACAAGGGAGAAGGGTTTTAAGCTAAAAGAAGAGAGATTTAGATTAGATGTTAGGGAAAATTCTTCCCTGTAAGGGTGCTGAGCCCTGGCACAGGATACCCAGAGAAGCTGTGGCTGCCCCTGGATCCCTGGAAGTGTCCAAGGGCAGGCTGGATCAGCAGGGCTTGGAGCACCCTGGCCTAGGGGAAGGTGTCCCTGCCCATGGCAGGGGTGGGAATGAGATGATTTTTAAATTCTGACTCCCAGCATTTCATGACTCCATGAAAAGGAGTCCTGAGTGCTTTGACCAACCTAATGCTGTTGGCATCAGGAGAAAAAAATCTCTGTATTTCCCTTGCTCTGAGCAAGGCTCATCTGTGCTGAAAGAACAGCTGTTCTTTGCTGGATGAGCAGCAGAAGCTGCTGTGATTTCTGTGTGTTGAAGGGGTTTGTTCTGTCCCCAGGTACGAGGGCAGGTACGGGGCTGGGCCCGTGTTCCCTCCCATGGTTCAGATCTGTGTGTGGTTCAGCCGCCCTCTGGAGAAAACGCGATTTGTCACCAAATGCAAAGGTACCAGTGAACTTTGCCTGACTTGATTGAAATCCAAGCTTGGGATGCTGAGGGATAGAGGGGAAGGAAGGCACTGACGTAACACAGTTGTTTAATCACTGCTGAAGTTAACTTTTAATTGAAAACTCAGCTTTCCTTCCTAAAAGTACAGTAAATTCTGTTCCTTAGTGTCTGCTCTGGAAAATTGTCCCATGATTTTTGTTCGGATGAAAGTCTAATTGAATTTTTGGTTTCTAGGACTGAGACAACTTCCTGTGTTTGCTTTTTTATTTTATGTCTCATTGTATTTGGTAGTGTTGAAATGCAGTTTTATAAGTGACCATCAGCTTCTACTTTTTATGCCAAATAATTCTTTGTAGCTACTAGAAAACTGCTCTAGAGTAAATACATTATCAAACCTCTCCTTCTCTGCTTAGCCAAGTGGTGTTAAAGAGGAGGGTTTTACCTCCCACACACACTGTGAGAGTTCCTTATGCCAAACTCACCTTATTTCCCAAACTCCATGGCAAAGAATGAGAAAATAAATATTATATAGTGGGATTCCAAGGGACATGGCAGCTTTTCCTTTGGAAGCACTGGCATGTGGATTAGAGATCAGCTGCACAGGTTTTACCAGAAGCTCCACCAAAGAGAAGAAAAATAAGTTGAGATAATCTGTTTATCTTCTGTTTCAAACAGCAATTAAGTCGTTGCTCAAGCCAAGTCCTTTTTCTGGAAACATTTATCACATCATGGGCAAAGTGAAGTTTTCAGGTAAGGGCAAATTACTCTGAGGTGTTGTGATCACACTGCACCTTATATGTGTTCAAAAAAGTATTTCTGCCCTGGATTCTGTCTGCACCAGTGTTGATGTTAGATTAGATTAACAATTATCAGACCCTTCCTTCTGTCTTCTCCTTGTTAGATGCTGATAAAGTCATTGAAGTGTGTCACAACACAGCAGCAAATTCCCTAAGCCTGGTGCCTGTTCCGGAGGGGCCAACTCCTCCCGATTCCAGAAATGATCCCAGAGACTGCAGCAGTCAACAGGAATATTTCCTTGTGTTCATTGGCTGCTCCCTGAAGGAAGAGGATATCAAAGATTGGCTCAGAGAAACTGCAAAACAGGTTTGTGGGCAGGTTTCCTTTTGTGCAGTGCTTGGCATTTCTTAACAACCAAAGGACAAATCCGAGTGTCTCAGTGAAACTTTTGGGTTTCTTAATTAATCTCCTCTTTTTTTTTTTTCTTCTACCAAGGTATTGACATTCTAGGGTGCAAATGGATTTCAGGAAGGGGACTAAGAGTTTATAAATGCGTGTTGTAATCTCTGTATTGTTTTAGTGCTTGCTACAGCTTATTCATGGATTGATTTGCTCTTGAATGCTTGAGCAAATGGATTATGTCCAGAATAAACACAGGATGATTTAGCTGAGCTGTGATTGCCAAGGGCTGAAGTGTGCTGTGAAATAAATCTTCTTCCAGTACCTGAATGCTGGCAAAGCTGAAAATTTGTTTTGATTCACTGAATTAAACCTCCTTGGAAGTAATCCACTGAAATGGAGGGTAGAGTTCTGTTCATTTTGTCATCTTTAATTAGTGTATTTCTGCATGGCTGATGTATCCATGCAATGAGGAGTAGGGAGCAGGGATTGTGGCTGTTGTAGGAGGCTCAGAAGGCAGAATTTACACAGAGGGACTGCCACAGCTGATTGACAGAATCACAGATCCATAAAATCCTGCAATAGTTTAGGTTGGAAGGGACCTTAAATCCCATCCGGTTCCACCCCAGTGCCATGGGCTGGGACACCTTCCACCATCCCAGATTGTTCTAAACCCTGTCCAGCCTGGTCTTGGACACTTCCAGGGATCCAGGGGCAGCCACAGCTTCTCTGGGCAAATTTTTGGAACATTTGTAAGTTAAAAAATACTCCATGTTACTTCTGTATGGATTAGGATTTGCACAATGTCTCCCTCCAAAAATTTGTGTAGGAAGGGAAAAGTGTTTCCTGCTGACTGTGGCTGGAGAAGTTGCTAAGGTTCCAAGATTTCTGAGGTTTTTGAATTTCTGAGATGCTCAGGTTCTCATCTTGTGTTCCCCTGTGTTAATTCAGGGAATTAATCCATTTTCTCTGCTGATTATCTCATGCTCTGTACTTACCTCAGGGGTAATATATGGAGACAAATGCTTTGCCATGTAAGAAAGCTCTTTGTGGAATATTACTTAAATTTTATGAAAACTTGGAACTTAAATGCTTATCTCAAGTGTGAAGTGTTTCCTCTTTGAGCAATTCAGGACTATAAACACTTTTTGTACAGTCATGGCTAATTGAGGGTTTCAGATAGCTCTAAGAGTTACCACATGCTGCAGCAAAGAAAGGGATTACAGAATTTCTCAGGCTCGAAACTAAGTTGTTTTTCTGTTCCTGTGCCAGCTTTCTTACAGTAAAGCTGTATTTAAAATTGTCTTGTTTAAAATACTTACAGAATTTTTAATTTCTGAGTGTTTTCTGTAAGATCAGTGAATTTTTACTTTTGTTTTCAGAACATTGTTGTGAGTGCCTTCATAGAAATGGATAATTTTAGAAATTAATTTTTTGAAATACATGCTTCTATGTGGTGGTTTGGATTTTTTTTGTTTTGTTTTTAATTTATTTTTTAACCAGCTAAGCTGTGGTATCACATTATCACTGTAGTCACATAACTGGAATCTCCTCCTTCACACAGAAACCTCAGAGGAAAGCCCTGAAAACCAGAGGAATGTTAACTCTTCAGGAAATCAAGAACATCCACGTGAGTAAAAGCAATAATTTACAAACCCTTCTTTTGGCTGATTTCCCTTAAATATCCATCTGGATGACAGAGCACCTGCCACAACAAGTGTGCTGAGCACTAAATTATTACAGCACTTTTGGAGCTGTCCAGGAGGGATTTGAGGTATAAATCTGATCTCAGAGCTCCAAATTCCCTCTGGAAAGCAGGAGAAGGTGTAAAATTGCCCATCTTTGGTTGCTGTAATGCCCCTTCCATTTTTTTAAATCTATTTGAGTTTGTAAGGACTGTCCCTGTAGGTGTTTAATTTAAATTCTTTCCTGCTGCAGGTGAAACGCCACTTGGATCCACTCCCAGCTGGTTATTTTTACAATGGGACTCAATTTGTGAATTTTTTTGGTGACAAAATGGATTATCATCCATGTATCCTTTAAAAAGGGAGGTTTGGGGAAGGTTTTAGGTAGGAAATGAACTGTGCAGCTCTGAAATGTTAAGTGCCAAAGCAGATATGGTAAAGAACCAGTTCCTTGCCAGCTAAAGCTTAGTTTTAAAGCCTTTCTTGAGAGATAAGATCTCAGGAACAGAATAGAACCAACAAAACAAACCCCAAACTGCCCATGAGCTCATGCAGGGGATAATTTATGGACCACAGCTTGTCAAAGAAATATTTTTCAAACCAAATAGTGCTGTAATAGCACTGAATGCCTGGGCACGACTGATAAAACTTCCAAATGAATGTAATTTCATGTGTGCACACACTCCAGTGAAAACAATCATATTTTTGTCCTTAGTTTTACCCTGGAATTCCTTGCCAAGGTTCCTGTTGTCCGTGGTCACCACCTGGGGACCTGGGGCAGTGGTGGCCATGGCAGTGCTGGGTTTACAGCTGCACTTGGTGATCTCAGAGGGCTTTTCCAGCCTTCATGATTCTGTGATTTTCTCATTTTCGTAACTTCCTGTTGCTTTTGTCTTTGGTCACCAACTTCCAACTTGGTTTTATATTCCCAGTTTACTTTTCATGGTAAACTTGGTAAAAATCCAGGTGATGCTGCTGTGGAATAAGAACAGAGTTATTTTCTGTAGGACAACTTGAAAATTTTAAACAAGCAGATTTCTGTCTGTAGGACACAAAACCCAACAGCAAATTTGCATTTCACTGGAAAATTCTTGATGCCCCATCCCTGGCAGTGTCCAAGGCCAGGCTGGATGGGGCTTGGAGCACCCTGGGATAGTGGGAGGTGTCCCTGCCCATGCAGAGGTTGGGATGGGATGGACTTTAAGCTCCTTCCACCCCAAACCATTCCAGGATTCTTCACTCCACCTCCCCCTTGGTGTTTGGCAGGGAAAGCTGCAGGCCTGGTTAAGCCTTTCTGGGGGATTTGAATTTTGGGAAGTTTTAGACTTGTGCTTGAGCAGAACAGCTGGGAATGTGTTCACAGAGTCCCAGGATGGTTTGGGTTGGAAGAGACCTTGAAGCTGATTTCATTCCAGGACTTTCCAGAAATGGGGAGTCCAAAACCTCTTTAGGCAACTCATGCCAGGGCCTCACCACCCTCCCAGAGAAGAATTTTTCACTAACATCCCATTTAACCCTGCTATGGTTTTGCTGTTCTTAGATCTTCCTCCTGGCTGGGAAATATCCCAGTTCCTTTATTCCCTGAGTTGTGGTAGCTCTGACCGTAGAACTTCCAGAAAGTAATATATTGAATTTCTGCTCTCACTGAGTGTCCCAGAACAGGCACTTCCTTCAAACCTGGATGTTTTTTTCTATTAAACACCATTTGTACATATATTCTTCCTTCACCTTTCCCAACCAGTAATGGACCAGTTCATGAATGATTACTTGGAAGAAGCCAACAGAGAAATTGAGAAGTACAACAGGGAGCTGGAGGAGCAGGAGTACCACGACCTGTTTGAGCAGAAGATTTAAGCACGTGGATCCTGAGTGTTCCTGTCCTTGTGTCAGGAACCAAAAATGCTATTTTGTCCTTCTGGCTCACCAGAAATCGAGTGAAATGTCTGTTTTCAGCACTCCTTCCCAAACTAAGGGATTGTTCCCCTAAGGTTGGCATTTAACACGGTAACTGCTTAGCTGTTTGTACTGTCAGGATTGCTTCCACTTCACCTTAATTCCAGACTGTACAAAGCATCACCTGGAATCTCTGGCTTGTGGTGGAAACGTGGGAAAAAGAAGAAGAAGGAGGAGAAAAGAAGCAAAACTGGATTTATTTCCTAAAAAAAGGTCAGAATGTAATTGTGGAATTGGGCCATGGTGCAGATATCAAACAATCCCTGGATGTCCCTTGGAAATCATTGCACAGGAGCATCAATGGTCAGTGGGGAGTTCAGGGTGTGGGATTGGGGTGTTCCCAAAGCCAGAAATGGGGGAACAGATTCGGAGGAGTCCCCAATCCCAGAACTGTTTGGGTGTTCCCAAAGCAAAAAATGGGGGAATAATTTAAAAAAGTAAGAGAGTCCCTAATCCCACAGCTGCTGGGCTGTTCCCAAAGCGAGAAATGGGGGAACACTTTCGCAGAGTCCCTAATCCCACTGTTGTTAGGATGTTCCCAAAGCAAGAAATGGGGGAACAATTGGAAAAACTCAGAACTGAGTCCCTAATCAGCAGTTGTTGGGGTGTTCCCAAAGCAAGAAATGGGGGAATTATTAAAAAAGTAAGAGAGTTCCTAATCCCACAGCTGCTGGGATGTTCCCAAAGTGAGAAATGGGGGAACACGGAGTTCCTAATCCCACAGCTCTTGGTGTCTTCCCAAAGTGAGAAATGGGGGAACACTTTCTCGAAGTTCCTAATCCCAAAGCTGTTGGTGTGTTCCCAAAGCGAGAAATGGGGGAACACGGAGTTCCTAATCCCAGAGCTGTTGGTGTGTTCCCAAAGCGAGAAATGGGGGAACACTTTCGCAGAGTCCCTAGTCCCACTGTTGTTAGGATGTTCCCAAAGGAAGAAATGGGGGAACAATTGGAAAAACTCAGAACTGAGTCCCTAATCAGCAGTTGTTGGGGGTTCCCAAAGCAAGAAATGAGGGAACACTTCTCAGAGTCCCTAATCCCACAGCATCTGGGCTGTTCCCAAAGCGAGAAATGGGGGAACAGTGGGGAAAACTCAGAACTGAGTCCCTAATCAGCAGTTGTTGGGTGTTCCCAAAGCAAGAAATGAGGGAACACTTCTCAGAGTCCCTAATCCCACAGCATCTGGGCTGTTCCCAAAGCGAGAAATGGGGGAACAGTGGGGAAAACTCAGAACTGAGTCCCTAATTAACAGTTCTTGGGGTGTTCCCAAAGCGAGGAGTGGGGGAACACTTTCTCAGAGTCCCTAATCCCACAGCATCTGGGTTGTTCCCAAAGCAAGAAATGAAGGAACAGTTGGAGTAACTCTGAAGAGCCCCTGATCCCAGAGCTGGTGTGTTCCCAAAGCAAGAAATGGGAGAATGATTCAAAAATTCAGAATCCCAGAATGTGCAGCTGTTGGGATGTTCCCAAAGCAAGAAATGGGGGAACAGTGGGGAAAACTCAGAATGGAGTCCCTGATCCCACAGCTTTCAGAGAGTTCCCAAAGTGAGAGATGGGGGAATGGGGAAAACTCAGATGGGCACCCAATCCCACAGCTCTTGGTGTGTTCCCAAAGCGAGAATTGAGGGAACACTTTCTCAGAGTCCCTAATCCCACAGTTGTTGATGTATTGCCAAAGTGAGAAATGGGGGAACAGAGGGAAAAACTCAGATGAGCATCTAATCCCACAGCTGCTGGGATGTTCCTAAAGCGAGAAATGGGGGAACAATGGGAAAAATTCAGAACTGAGTCCCTAATCCCACAGCTCTTGGTGTGTTCCCAAAGCAAGAAATGGGAGAATGATTAATTTAGAATCCTTGAATGTGCAGCTGTTGGGATGTTCCCAAAGTGAGAAATAGGGGAACAGTGGGAACAACTCAGAAGAGTCCCTAATCCCAGAGCTGTCAGCGCTGTTCCCAAAGCGAGAAATGGGGGAACAGTGGGAAAAGCTGAAATGGGCATCTAATCCCACAGCTCTTGGTGTGTTCCCAAAGCAAGAAATGAGAGAACAGAGGGGAAAACTCAGAACTGAGTCCCTAATTCCAGAGCTGTTGGTGTGTTCCCAAAGCAAGAAATGAGAGAACAGAGGGGAAAACTCAGAACTGAGTCCCTAATTCCAGAGCTGTTGGTGTGTTCCCAAAGCAAGAAATGGAAGAACAATTGAAAAGTTTAGAATCCCTGAATCTGCAGCTCTTGGGATGTTCCCAAAGTGAGAAATGGGGGAACAATGGGAAGAACTCAAAACTGAGTCCCTAATCCCAGAGCTGTCAGAGCATTCCCAAAGCAAAAATAGGGGAATGGGAAAAGCTTGGATGAGCACCTAATCCCACAGTTAGGATGTCCCCAAAGTTACAGATGGGGGAACAATGGGAAAAACCCAGAAGAATCCCTAATTAAAAGCTGATGGGATGTTCCCAAAGCGAGAAATGGGGGAACAGTGGGGAAAACTCAGAATGGAGTCCCTGATCCCACAGCTGCTGGGGCATTCCCAAAGTGAAAAATGTGGAAACAGTGGGGAAAACTCAGAAGAGTCCCTAATCCCAGAGCTGCTAGGTGTTCCCAAAGCGAGAAATGGGGGAACAGTGGGAAAAGCTCAGAATGGAGTCCCTGATCCCACAGCTTTCAGAGAGTTCCCAAAGTGAGAAATGGGGAAACACTTGATTGGAGTCCCTAATTCCAGAGTTAAGATGTTCCCAAAGCAAGAAATGGGAGAACAGAGGGGAAAACTCAGAACTGAGCCGCTGATCCCACAGCTGCTGTGTGTTCCCAAAGCGAGAAATGGGGGAACACTTTCCAGATTCCCTAATCCCAGAGCTGTCAGGGCAATCCCAAAGGGAAAATTGTGGAAACAGTGGGAACAACTCAAAAAAGTCCCTAATCCCAGAGCTGTCAGGGTGTTCCCAAAGAGAGGGATGAGGGAACACTCCCACCCCCACCTTTGCCAGGGCTCAGCCCATCTCAATCCTCAGCACAGTTTGAGTCTGCACTTAAAATTCTGACTTGAAAGAAAAGCTATTTATACATTTCAGGGTGAAATCAGTGGAGAAATCTTAATTTCTTCCCAGTGCTCTCATTGGGATTCTGGAAAATATTTCCTGGCTGGCTGCAATGTGCACCTTGCTTAGATTATCCCTGGAGGATTCCTATTGCAATCCTAAAAACTAGGCAAGGCAAGGGGGAGATTGTTCAGCTGAAGAATTCCTTTTCATGAAGATAAATGATTTCCAAAGGTAAAAAATAGCAAAGGATATTACTTGAAAGAGGCAGGAACTTGTTTGTGGAGCTTCCAGAAGAGTTTGCACGCCGTAACATTTCACTGTGCTGGTGAGAAATCAGCTTTTTAAGTATTGCAACAGAAATTTTATAGTTCCTAAATGATAGAACAGGAATGCTGGCAGCCTGTCCTGACTTAATTCAGAATCATTTTAAAGGAGGCTTTATAAATCCCTGCCTGAAGGATTATAAAGTACCTTAGCAGCTACTTACAGGTAATTATTGGAGTTTATTTGAATAAGCAGTTTATTGTAGCATGCATGTGTTCAGAATTTAGGTGAGAGCAGCCCAGCAGGAATTTTTTATTTTCATATTCCTTTGCCTTAGGGACAGCTCAATCTTTTACTGCAACTGCAGCTTTTCTTTCTGACCAGATGTTTGTGATACAGCAAGAAATGGAATGAAAAATCTCTTAAAATACTTCAAATGTATCTGCACAGCCTCATCCCCAGGCAGGAAAATGAGATTTAACCCCTGCCATCAAACCTGAGGCTAAATTAGAGTTTATGCTTTGCTAAAGAGATGTATTTTTTACCTTTGGAACATGAAATTAGTGAAATTTCAGTGACCTGAAGCACATTTTAGGTGGTTTTGGTCTTCATTGCTGGGTGCAGAGGTGGAATTCCAGGTGCTGCAGGCTGGGATAGAAATATTGATAAGATTTCATTCCTCGCTTTCCTCCTAGATTTAAAAAGCTGTCTGAATTGAAGACTTTAGTATTTTATTTTCTTTTTTTTTTTTTGCACACCACGAGACTTTATATAAAAACTACTTGTATCCTGTTAGAGGCCAGTAAAAGCCAGCAATTAGTTTGTGTTTTTAGGCTTTCCTGGGGTATTCCCTGGATCACAAGTGTGGAGCATCCTGATAAAGCTCGTGAGTTTTATCTATGCATGGCTAAATTTTAGTCTTAATATCCTGTAGTGCCTGTAGAGCAAAGGTAGCTAGCAGTGGGTTTGGGGAGGGGGGGCTGCCAGGGGTTTACAACTAAATCCAGTTGGTTGCATGAAATTATTTCACAGCCCAGAATTTTTAGGAATCCCAAAATTCTGGTGGCAGCGCCGCAATAAAAAAGGGGCATTAGGAAATTGAACTGCAATTGGAATTGCTTTGCCAATTAACTCAGTGTAAACCCAGCTGTTCCAGTCCCAGTTCTCTCACCTGCAAAGCCATATTTTTAGAGTAGTGGGATGTGATGTGGGAAGAAATTCCAGTGGTTGGGACAGCAGGCACGTGGTGGAGGCTTTGTCTCAACTCGTGAGTGGATACAGAGTAGATTTAAGTGCAATTGATTGAAAATAGATGAAGATGCTGTAGCTGATTTTTGCTCTGCTGAACTCTTTTTAAGAACTCCAATTTGTGCAGCTCTCAAATCAATATGGATGGGGCTTGATCCAGCTAGAATTCCAAGCCCTGTGAACAAAATAGAAAAGGAAATAATTGGGTTGTGAGTGTGCAAATTGAGGTGTTCCTTAAAAACTGGAGCAGAAGAGCTCGGAACAAAGGCCTAGAACCCTCCTGTGCTGTGCTGCATGTGCTCTATGGTCATAGCTGTGTATTACAAAGACCTTTCACCAGACTGGTACTGGCTCAATTCATGTATTTTGGTATTGAAAGAAATTGATTACCTCAATTTTTAGCTTTTATTTTTGAACTGTGACTTTTCAACCAGAACAAAAAAAAAAAAAAAAAAAGAAGAAAAATACCGAAATAGTGAAACTGTGACAATGGTATCCTTTAAATGTAGTAGTGCCTTGCAGAAGACACCATTTATTCCCCAAATAAATGGGTGTCAGGGGTTGCACCCCCCTTTTTTTTTAAAGGAAAATAACGGTTTTGGTGAAAGGACTTAAAAATTTAACCTAGTGACAAATATTAGCACAAATGGTTAAACTGTTTAAAAGAAAACTCTTTGAGGACTGAAATGCCTGATGCTGCTGCTGTTGAAGAGCAGTTGCTGATTTTTTGGGAGTCGATTCTAACGATCAGCAGCGCTTTTTGAATTTTTTTTTATTTTTTCTTTTTAGAAGAGTGTAACTTTTGTACTCTGGTCAGAGCTGTTTGTACTGTATGCAATCCCCAGCCCAGGGGATTTGGTGTCCTCACTCCTTGGAGCTCGAGGTGAGGATGGAGCTACTCCGAAGGATTGGGGTTTGAACTTTTTTTTCTACTGTATAA